ATGAATCAGAATGATGGAGTGGCTGTTTGAAAGATTAGTTTTCTAAGTTTCAGATGGTTGTCACGTAACCGCGCCAGATGCATCGGTATCATAAGGTAAACTTTTTCTGTGCTGTATCCTGCACCAAGGTTTATGGCCCATTTTTCTTCGAGGTAAAATCTGTCACAGGGCAAATCTACGAGGATATGTTACGAAACTGGCTCTTCCCTTTAATGGAAGCTGATTCAAATGAATTCATTCCCCACTGGCCACTGTAGCCTATCAGTTAGAGCATTTTTTAATTAAAAACTGCCACAGCGATGGATTGGTCGGATAGGGGCCCAAGACATTGCTCTTTGGCTTGCCCTCCTAGATCTCCTGACCTCACAGTTTGTGATTTTTTTTCTATGGGGGTTTGTATAGGATAAAGTCTTTATTCCGCCATTACCAACTGACCTGAATAACTTAAAACACCAAATAACAACGACGATCAATTCAATAGATATGCTTCAAAGTGTTGGGGAAGAATTCTCATATCATCTTGATGTTGTCCGTGCTGTAAGGGGTGGCCATATTGAACACTTGTAACATGTGAAATAAAACTTGACTGTGAGTAAAATGTTTGTATTATAATTTATAAGTTCGATTTGTTTGCTATTTTTCCTTAATAAAATATTTAATTAAGGAATCGGTACATTCTTTTTAAATTACCCTGTATATTAATAAATTCGTGTTTAAAAGAATAGGTTAATGTTTTGTTTTGTGAATCATTGCATCGCATTTCTCAGTTATTTTGAATTTATTACATTTTGTTTGCGATTATCGTCAAATATTCAGGATCCTGCAAATACTCGTTTGGTTGTATACAAATTAAAAACTTCTGTTATTGTCAGAATACTGAAGAAATGTCCCGTTGGCGTGTGTAGTTGAACTCTAGTTTTGCCGACATGAGAATAGCGGAAATTTGCGGTCGTTCTGGTTTCACGAAAACGGTCTATTCATCAGTTCGTGGCACGTAAATTAGCTTTAACCACGGCGTACAACACACAGTCACATCATCCTAGTGGTTGTGTCGGCATGAAGCAAAGAGATCGGCTTTCGATCCACAGCCCGTTCGCACAGCGGCAGCGCGATAACCATCGCCGCCCTTTTTTTATTCTTCTTCTATAATAATATAGTTTACATGTTATTACAAAATATAGTTTAACGCTTTTACCGATTCCGCAAGCACAATACAATTTTTATTTTGATACACAAATGTTGTAAATAATTAAAGCCCGTGGATGATATCAGTATTATTAAAATGTAAAACATAGAAAATATTTATTATGGAATCATTCGATGTAGTACCACAGAATAAATTAAATCAGAACGGAAAGCTATAGTGTAAACAAAAAACGGCAGCCATTTTCTGCATGGTCCGAAAAAAATATGATAATATATTTATTATTTATTATTTTATATTATTTTTTTTTAATTTATTTATAAATATGTATTATATATTTATATATTAGATATAGATATAATGATAAAATACCAACCACTGAGAAAATGGCCGAAGGTCATAGATAATGCGTCCTATATTACCCATGTTATATTATCAATGTTTCCATTCTGATTTCATTTATTCTGTGGTAGTTCGATAAATACAGTATAATCAGTACGCTGGAACAAAAACAGGTACTTTTGGACATGAGCGTCGTGAAATAATCATTTATTTATGTTTGAAACAGAAAACTTTACTACATTGTACTTAATTGTTTTATTAAAATGCCAGTACTCGGAAGCGACAAAAAAATGGATTAAACTAGTTTGTAAAAATGAATCTTACTAAAAATTTTATTACGGGCATATAGAAACTTAATTTAATTTTGGAAATCGAAATTTAATAACTGTAAGAACTTCAATGTCCTCTCTTTCAAACAGAAAATACGAATTATAAATATTTATAATCCGATTTCTGTACGAGGTATTATGCCATTTTCCGTAGAACATAATTTATGATTAGTTTTTTGCAAAAAAAAATGCATCAGCTATAGACGCATCAGTATAAAGATGGAACATGCTTTAGCTTTAACCCCCAAGCTCGAAAACGACACAATAATTGCGACACGAAATAGTGTCACGAACGTGGTCTAGCGGTTGCTTTTTTATATTATATATATCTGGGGCTTGTGTTAAAAAAGGTCAAACTCACTTTTTGCAACTTTGGGCATATGGACTTTAAGTTTTCCTTTTTTCATTATGCTTTATGTTAACTTTTTACAAAACTCTTCATAAGTTATTTAAATATCACCCTCAGAGTGCCATTTTTTCACAGTAAGTATACAAAGTATGTTTACATTTTTGTATTTACTATTTAGTGGACTAACTCATTGTGGCCAAAAAATGAGATTAGCTCTTTTTGACCCAAGCCCCAGATATGTGTGTATAAAATTTCTATAGACGGCAAGTCTTTTAAGATTTTATACCTGGACAACTATTATACAATAATAATTATATTCAGTGCGTCAAATACCTAAATTATTTGATTGTTGTATAAACTTATTACTATTACTTATTCACAGCCATATTTTATATGATAGATAAATTGATTTACAATAATATTGTTTTAAGTAAATCATAAAAGGTACAAATTCATTCATTGATATTTTTTTTAAATGGTTAACCAAATATTCATCCTTATAAATGAAAATAATTTCACAACGAGCACAATCAAATGAATCGTTAAATTTATCCAAAATAACTGACCAGGTTGATGTTGTTAATAAACCTACGTTAAAAAAATACTAGACAACATTTGGCCAAAACATAAAGTTAAGATTATACTATCATCATATATCACAAGGAGATTATAGATCGGAAATAATCATTATTCAAGAGCCAGCAGACTAAAGCATGTTCCATGTTTTATAATTTTAGCCGTAAGGCTTAAGTAGACTGTAACTATTTTTTTAAATACAATTTGTACATTTTTGCAAAACAAGAATGGACTAATGATAGTCTTTAATTTTGTTATTTAATGAGTATAAATTATAGCTAAAGCGTATATGATCCATAGAAGTGTCCATTCACCTTACCAGTCTATCTAACACCCTACTTGACTACAGATATAAAAATTAATACAAAACTATACATACAGTTTTGGGTTTAATAAAAAAGAATCGGCGATTAAAATAGTTGTGCTTATATTCTGTGTTATAAAAGTGTCTTATACTCTTATGACAGTTTACAGCTTCCGACTATTCAAAAAACGTTATGCCGTGCTAACCACTCCGTGTAAACGGATGGGTGACCATACTTTTGCCATAATCGAATCACCATACTAATTTTTGAAATATAATAACAACAACATTCTAAATCTCTAAAAAAAAATAAGTTTTTTATTTCTCAAAGATTTTATTGATGGAAGTGTAGTTCTAAAAACCTACACCTACCTTATGACGACGCTTAATCGTTGCTACAGAAAATTAGGACTGTTAACTGAATTCTCAATTATATTATGTTTTGATTTTTATGAATAATCGTTTCTCGTCTTATTGTTAGTCGTTGGCTATCAGAATTATTAAAGTTACGCAATAAACTAACGAATTGGTGTTTTCAATTAAAAGACATTTGGGTTTTTTGTTTCACTTCGTGTGCCTAACTCCATTCTCGGGGTTACATTATTATATTATCACTGTAACGACCGCCGCGGTCGTGTACATAATAATAATATACAAATAGTAGCGCCGAGTCTAGCCATGGTGCCCCCCTTGCGTGCGTATGACTAGAAGCCGACCGACAGACATTAACCCACGGGCCCTAACGAGCGTCACGTACCATCTGATCTGAGTCGAGCTCTTTTCACATGAGCCGCCGCGCCGCCACCGCACAGTATTTCGGTACACTTTAAACGACTCTACTGATTATTTTTTACGTAAATGCACGACTCGACAATGCATCGTTTATACACACACACACACACACACATATATATATATATGTGTGTATATAATATAATAAGTATAAGTGTATAATATGCACATAGTCGCACAAACGGCTAGCGAAAAACTCGCGACAAACGAATTGCCCTCGATCGTCTCCAACTCTATCTCCATCTCTTTCTAAGTCTTTTTTATTTTTTCCTCACACACACACACACACACACATGCACTTCTGTCTATCTCAGTGTGTACATATGCCGACCATTCCGTGGGCTTGCGAAAATGAGTACAAACGCAAGCTTGTAATAAGGCGGCAAGTAATTTTTTTTTTTTTTTTAATTGAACGCATGTTATATACCAGAAATGTATATCGTTATAATATAATAAAAAATACCATGTACGTGAGCTCGCAAAAATGTCACTTGTCTTTATTGAGTGTACCGATTTAAATGCACAATAATATTAACATTATATCACGAGGTAATCTGTATTGTTTAATATAAAGAAAGAAGTATCATAGGTACATAGTTGAGGATAAAATGACATGTGTAAATAATGTGATAACCAATATAACTTATTATGTTTTATTTGAGTGATGAGTCATATTTAAAAAAACATTTTATTTTATTTGTGTTACATATTATTATAACTATAGAAAAAAATTTGTCATTCATTCAACAACATATACCTACTTAATTAGCTAATATTTATAGTAAATATTATGTAATCATTAATATTTACTAACAACAATTGTTTCACTTAGAGATTTAATGGATTAAATTAATTAATTATAGCTTACTATACTGCGTAGTAGTACAATAGGTACAATGGTAATAACCTTCAAATCAAATGTTTTATATTAATGGAACTTTGTAAATAATAACGTTGGCTTACGAAGCCGGTAAAAAATGATATAGTGGATATAATTTATCCATTAGTATAATAATACTGTAAAAGCACATTACTTTGTGATATCGCCGTCGATCAAATAAAAACGAAATGGTGGATCATGCATTAGTGGTCGGTTACGTGACAACTACTATATGGGAAAAATGCGAATTTCTTCTTGTCAGTCAGTATAGTTCCGCCATAGACATGCATATTATACGACGAAGGAAGATAAACAATAACGATTATGTCAAAAAAGACTTATGGAGACCCGTCAAGGTCTCTCTATTGTACTTGAGAGAATTTTCCGAGACGACTACTCTGCATGGCATACGACACGTAGGGCTGTCCAATATACATTTCGTAGAGGTGTGAGTATATACAATTTTTATTATATGTACCTACACAATATATCATTCCCATTGCAATTGATATGAAAACGACTAAAATATAATATGTTATTATAATGAAAATATTATGTTGTTATCAATGCTTGATGTTTATAATTTCATCTTAAGTCACTATAAATAACAAAATTATTTATTATTAGTTTGTATAATAACTAGCTAATATCTAATAGCTATTACTTAAATTAAATTGTGATTAATAAAAAACTTATTTTGTAATTATTAAACAGTACGTTTTTTAATAAATAAAAAAAAAATTATAAATTTAAAAGTTATATTTTAAGTATTATTATTTAAAAAAATTCAATCAATTTCGAAGTACCCACTTAAAAAGTAAGGAGGAAAAAGCCAGCACAGTGGAATTGGTGCATAGTAAGATAGAGACTAGTGAGGCTAGTGTAGACTTTAAAAATTATTATAAATGAGATTTATAATTAAAACGCTTCGATTCGATTCTGTAGATGGAAGGGGAAGGGAGTACTTTTAAAATTGTTGGCTAACATTGTACCTTTAATGTACATATTTTAATCTATAGACTTGTTACTTGAAGGAATCTATTCGGTAGTAAAGGAAATGTAGTTAGTTCAGCAACACAAAAAAAAAAATCTCGCTCCCCATCAAAAGTAAAAAAAGAATATATTTTTAAGTCTCTGAAAATATATTATTGCTGAACATGCTATTTAGGAGTTTTAATATTTTATATTTTGTTAAATACAAATTCCGGATTGTAAAAAAAATAAGAAATGATAAGAGATATGTCTAAGTACGGCTATTTATTAAAATATGAAACAAAGGCAATATTAGTTTAAATTTGTTTTACGACATTTTTTTTAGCCAATTTGTAAAAGGTACTTAGGTATGAGTTTGCACTTATCATTTTTCGTTCAAATGATTTTTCTACGCAAAAAAACATAACGAAAAACACTCAACGTTTCAATATTCAATATTTTTAATTCTTTTTTTTGTGAAAAATATTTGTAGGACACTATGATCTTAAATTTTTCATCGTTTTATGTATACTGTTTACTCCACATAACATTTGAAAACATAATTATTACAATACTTTTAGAGGGTTGTGGTTGTTGTGCGTGGTCTTGTCGATTTACGGGTCTTACAATTTGATGTACAATAGTTACAACAGATACAATACAAATCCAACAGTGATAACTGTGCAAAAAAATTACCGATACTGGTATATACAATTTCCGAGCGCCACCTTTTGTTACGCTAATCCTGTGAACGAAGATCTAGCCAAAGCGTACATAATCAAGTCAGTTTAAATATAGGTATACTAAAAACTAATTTATTAAAATTATTTGCACCTATCGTAGGAAGTGGAACGTAAGTTCAGGAGATAAGTTTGACTACTACATGAAGTTTATAAATGAAGCAGTAAACGTAACATATGAAAACACCCATTTAATGGAACCCTACGCCAAAGACCCAGATCTAAATAAGATCAGTATTAAAGATCTATCCTCAAAGGTAACTAGAATTTTGAAAATTCTATTCGTTTACTTACTAGTGACTACTTATAATCATGTTATTGGTGCAACCAGATAGGGTTGAGGGATTATAACTCAATCCTAACTTTTTATTTTATTTTAATCAAAGGCTACCCTAACTATACATGTACATCTAAAGACTGAAAGGTATTACTATTACTACTTTAGATGTTTAAACTGCTCCTAAATAAAATTACTAATTGCGCCGCTGATTGAGTGCAATATTGAAAAAATACAAATTGCATAAAGCAATCATAGACCACTGTGTTTAAAACCACTATACTTAGGTCCACGCTGAGCTTCGTTTCAAGACTACCATATTTAACGCCGACTACCAAAATATCTCTTTCTACCCCGTTCTAACTGAAATGGGCGAATGCTACACATTTAGTGGTACGATAACCGACTACTTACGACCAAAGTAAGATAATTATATTTTAATATTCTCAATTCGTTAACGTAATGATTAATAATTACCATTAGTATTGATTTATTAACAAACATGATATAATTATAGTTTTTTTTTAATTATATGTAATTACATACCTCTCGCATATAAATTATGAGTATAATTGTTGAATACAATTATTTAATGTTTAACCTAATATTCTTGCTATGTTTTCCAAGTGGAATCCCACTAATAAGAAATAACTATACGCCACCGTCATGTAATTTCTTCAACTCGCTGTGCTACGCGAGAGCTGAGAGCTTGCCTCGAATTGTTATGGTTGGTAAAATAATTCGACGTGGTGCATTCGCTCATGACTGATATGTATTCTACTCTGTTGATCAGTACTATGTGCATTACGCCAAAGAAGTGCCGGACATAGTGGACAAGTATTATGTAGTGATGGAGAACATGGAACGGGACACGACATTCACTTTTTGGGAGATGACGTCCGCTCCCGAGCTGAAAAGACTTAGCCCGTCGCAGCGTCAATGCCGTTTCATGAACGAGCCCATGGACACTTCGACGCCGGTTTACAGTTACAATATATGTCGAATGTTATGCAGGAGGAAATTGGCGTTAAAGTACTGCGGGTGTGCGCCACATTTTTACATGAACCAAGGTGTAGTAACTAGGCCGTAAACCGTCGTCGGTACGAAAGAAAGAGCAATATTGGGTTTAAGTTTCATTTCCCCCCCCCTTTTTTGTACGTTCTCAGATAACGTCAAAGAGTGCGATCTCAAAGGACTGTACTGCTTGTCGCCGTACACGGAAAAGCTGTTGACCCTGCAAAATACGGACGGCACGCCGGTCGAATGCAATTGTCTGATGACGTGCGAAGACGCCAAACTGTTTTTGGACAGAGATTCCCGGCGTACTTGGTAGGCACCATAAATAATATTCGCCGCGTGCATTTTCTGTGGTGAATTTATGAGAGAAAAAGCCGACAAACAAGCATTTTCTCACATAAATATTATATCGTATGATCGATTCTTTAAAGTGTATGTAACGAATGCGCAGGTCGTATCCAGTGCCGTGGGACATCCGTTTCCGATGGGCCATTGACAAATATAGTAAGACGCGGTTGCGCCGCGACGTCATCTATAGCTTCGAAGATTTACTGGGTTAGCCAATAACATAATCATTTAGCATTATATATATGTTCATTGTTTGTCACACACTGTAAGTAATCGAGTCCGCTTACGATTGAGCTAAACGATGGCCAGCTCTTAAGTCTCGGCGGCGACATGACAGTGCGACCGCTATGAAAATATAAAAAAAAACGGAATAATTTGTATTAGGATCATATTATTATGGGCACTCGTACGGTAAATGACCGCTAAACAGTACAGCTCTCTTACGCAGCTCTAAGCCGACCGGTAGAACTCGGTGACGTGTCACTGTTAGCCGTGTACTATACTTACCCTTCAGTTTTGACGTTAACTTTTCTATTCTATCACCACGTCGTACACGACAAACACCGATGCTATAAACCGTTAATATTATAAATATCGCGCTTTCTATAGTGTACAATAAACTAATATACCTACCTATTGGCTATTACAGCTACTAACGACGGAGGTCAAAACAATGTAATTATCCGCTTTAATATACTGTCCGTACTGTACATTTAGGAAACACTAAGAACAATGTACATTTTTTTAAAACATTTCTATTTCTCATGGACACAAAACTTGTTGTATACAATAATTAAGGGTGTTTTTAAGCATTAAGCTATTTTAATAATACTGATCAGAAGTAATTGGAAAAGGCAACTAGGTACCTAAGATATATTAAGGGTATTGTAAGCGGAAGGCTTTTAAGAAGTTTTGTATAGAGCTTTTTAAGAAAAGAGTGGTTTTAATCACTTAGGCGATTTATTTTCGTATTAATTTGTAGAAGATTTAAGGTATTATTTTTGACATAGATACCTATACAAATTTTTGGTAGGTCATTTGGTAGGCCATTTAGGTAGTTCAGAAAATGTTTTTGCTGTGACAAAACTGTGTGACTGGCTAGTTCAGTTTATTTTTGTTTGTAATTAAAAAATCAAGTTTGAAAATTTTATATATTAAAACGCAATTAGCATAAAAAAATTTAAAAACGTATACAACCTATAATATAATAAAGTAGCCAAAGAACTCGTATATCTTTACAGCATTGAAATCGGACCAACCTGAGTAGTGAAAATGTTATCAGACTTTTTAGTGTAAAATGTTTAAAAAAACATACCGCTTTCAATTCCCTTAAGTTGTTAAATGCATCTTCTGGTGCCACGGATCTCAAAAACTCTCCATTTTTTTTCCTGCATTATAGATGAATATTTACTAATAATAATGTACCTATTGAATACAATATAATGAATCACCGTTTTGTTTTAATTAATCTGTCATTTCGTGACGTTTACGCAAATATATCATGTTGTCTGGAACAGTCGAGACACGCCGATAGGCGATTCTAATTACTTATTCATGAAAAAAAAAGTTTCAATACACAACAATCTATAGGAAAAATATGATTGCCCCCTAATTAATAGAAAATGATTTACACAGTAATTATTAACTGTATATTTTAAATTCAATTATTTTTCAACGTTTTTTTATAATTTTGTAATTATATTATAATTTATATGTATTTCTGCATGTAAAATCTTACAAATATATTTACCCGTCCATGTACGTTACATAATTACATTTCCTTATAATGATACATATTATCATATTATTTTACATTATAGAGTGGTCGATTTTTTGTGTTGAACGTCGATTTGGAAATTTGCCAGAAGAGATAATACTATTTCGACAATAGAACCGATTTGTACTACATGCCTGTGGGCTGTACCACCAACAATACCTATCTGTACACACAGCTTCAGCAGTACTTGCAGTTGTTAGCGTTTTATAACTGTATTATATTGCGGAATATCAATTGTATACTTGTATCTATGCCTTTTTTCTCCATTCGGTTTACATGCATGTTTTTGTGTAAACATTACGCGGTGTGCAGTAGGTAATGCAGTGACGTACGCAAGGCGCATAAAACTATAGGGGAAAAAAATATTTAAATACAATGCTCATAGTTGCTCGGTACAATAAATACGTTTGCCATTTACATAAAACGATCGCATGGTGGCCACGAGTTATGAACGTCGGGTTTCTGGGAATCGTGTCTGACACGACAATTCTCCGGATATTAGGTTAACGCTGTATAATGATAAAAGTTCACTCGAATGTCACCAACAAATTACAATATAACTTTATGACATTAGTATAATTTTATATATTTTGTACTCTACAAACAATATCCAATGGTAATAAACGCCTAAGAAAATAGACCGATAGCAATATTTTAGTTATATTATCCAATAACTACTATCATATATTTATATTTCATAGTAGGCGTTAGAAGTTAATGGAGACAGCGGTAAAAATCGAATTAATGTTAGCTATAACAACCCAGACCGGATTTAGGGGAGATGGGGAGCCCCATATTTTTTTTGTTCTATATTTGATCAATAGATATGTATAAAAAGTTATAATCTAAAGCGTTATTAGTTTTGTCTATAGCATATTACAATTGTCATGCTATGACGGACAGTCAACTGGTCCACAACCGATAATGCCACACGTGAAGTTTCTTCTTCTTCTTCTACTACTACTAAAGGCCTGGTGGCCTTGTCGTTGCAAGAGAGTTGCCATTCTGGGGAAGTGGGTATAGTGCAGTGGTTTCCCATTGCCTTCCGCACCAGCCGGTGGCCATTTCTCTCTTCAGACGGTTGCACGCCCAGCTAGAGAAATGTCCAGCGACTGAAATTCGAACCACGGTTAGTGCGTCAAATCACTGTCGCAGTAACGCTCTCGACCCGACACATGTGAAGTTTAACATTGTAAAATCAAATTGTTAACAAAACTGTACCTACTATTTTTACTAAACTATGCTATGCTATACTATTTTTGTATAGCATATTGTCTAGTACAATAGTGGCGGGATTAAAATCCGTATTCCTGAAGTATTCGGATGTTCGAACCTAGATTTGAAGGATTATTCGGATGGGATTGAATCTAAGTAAATACGTACCTATACGGTATACATAACGTTTAATTAAAACAATAATTGTATTATTGAAATTGGATAAAACAAGTTGCAATCCTTTTCTGATAGTTAAGGTTAGGAGCAACATAACCGAATTATTTAAGAAACAGATAATACAAAAATGTCGAATAAATACACAAATGTTGGTTACAATTTTTTAATTATTTAATTGTTTTTGTCGGGACATAATATTTACTTTTTATTCTTTTCAAAAAGTGTTTATGTATTGGTTTTTTTTATGGACTCATTTGTTTATAAGGCCCTTAAAATCGTCTCACACCTCTAGACCCGAATAGTATAACAATAATAATTATCATTTGAAAAAGCACTGCCTACAACTTACAAGTATTGTTGAAGTAATAAACCAACACATCTGGAAAAAAAACTATCGATTATTATTGACATTGTAAGTACGAGTATGTTGTATTCCGAAAACAATTTTCCTAATATTATGAACGCCCGACGGCAAACATTGACGCTCAGCTTGTTACGTGTACACATTATTATAACTGGTAATCTATCTAAATAAACGTACAGCGTGTAGGAAGTATACATGGACCATCTGTGTATTATTATTGTAAGACCTAATTTCACGATTCTCGGCTAGAACACGTGTACGAGTTGAGCGGCACATAAATCTAAAGTTAAATGGTGAATCCAGGTGAACATACAAATCTGACGGCAATAATTGATCGCAGGTACGGGGTGACCGATCAGAGCTGATTTCTCAGTAATACACATAACACTCATCAAGTACATTGTCAAGTACAATTTATAAACGCGGGAACCACTAATAGGTACGACTTCAGAAGAGTACGAGTATTTACTACAATAATAATATCTATTTTCACGTGTATCGGTGTATATACGCGCCTTCTTACATCGATTATATAATAATTTTTTTTTTTTACTTTACTTTTTTATACTCTAATCCGTTAACTGTAATGTAGTTGTAAACGACACGCAAAGGGTACTTAATACCGCGTGTATATATATTTTTAGTATGCTAAATAAATCAATAGCAATAATAATAGCGCATCACCTCAAGGAACATCCTAAAACGCACCCGAATTATAGTATACATTATTGTAATACTCACTTTAATTATTGTTCGGAATTTATCAAGCCATTAATCAATTGTTGTATTGTACTTATGTTTTGTTATGAGGATGTTTATGTGGCTCTTGACATAGCATATTAGTTAAAATGCATTTATACATGCAGAACTTATTATGTTATTATAGCTTGACATTATTTTATGCTACAACAATTTCTTCCGAAATGAGTGCAGCCACAAGCCAATGTTTTTCTGGCGGCAAAATTCAACCTATTTAAACGTTTTTTTTATTTAAAAAACCTGGATGTCAAGAATTTATACTGAATAAAAAAAATGTATTAAACTAAACCGTGACAACTTTAATAATTTTCTAAAGCCTTACATCATTTATTATAGCTACTGAGATAGATATGAAGATGGCTTTAAAAAATGGTCACATTACTGTATACAAACATTTCAAAAATATTTATAATTTCAACTATCATCATGATATATTTTTACAGCTAACATTCTGATACCTACTGTATAAAATATATGTATAATCAATTTTCATGCTATAGTTATACCACTATTAGGTAAATATATAAAATATGACTATTTGACGTCTGTTTGCAGTTTCTTTGGGTGGCACCGTGTCCTTTTTCCTTGGATGCAGCGTACTGTCGTTCGTCGAAATCGCCTACTTCTTCACCATCAGGCTCTTTTGGTTTTTAATTCGCCGGAGGGACAATTAACATGAAAAATTCAACAAAATAATCACACGTCTGATTATGTTACGCACCACCTCACCATAAATTTAAAAAAAAAGTGTTTGTTTATTATGAATCATTTATTTAACTGTATGACTAAACAAACTTTGTTTTATAACTTATTAAAAAATAAATGGCTACACAAAAAAAAATTATAGTTGGAACTATTATAATTACATGGTTAATATAGGGAAACAATAAATGTATAGTTGGAATAACTTAATAAATAGTTAGACTCAGGCCAACTAATTGTATCTTTAGTTCAACTAAACATTTAGTTACTTAGTGTAACCTACCATAACTATCTATTTTTAGTTATTCCAACTATACATTTAACTGTGTCCCTATTTTAACGATTTAACCTTTTTTAATTATTTAACTTATATTTGCCCATTTTTTTTATACTATATTGAAATTAGCTTAGCGAAAATGTGCTAAACGAAAAGATAAACAACCACACAAGTCGTTTTTTATGTTTAACGAATTATTTTAAAAAAAAATAATAACAAACATATGTCATATATAATTTGCTTATTGAACAGTTATATTATAATGCAAATTATATCTAACTAATTACTGTCGATAATTAGTTTTATTACTTAAATATTTTTTGAGTTATTGGCGTTTAAAAGTATAGGGGGAAGAAGAAGGGAGGTAGTCTTCAATGTTTTTTTTTTAATCGCTTACACGTTTATTCAGTCGTACTTCCCTCCACGCATATTATAATTTCAAATGCTAATTGACAATGGTAATAACTCAAAATTGGTTAGGTTAGGTTATTCATTTTATTATAATAATATATCAATATTGTTTTAATAAGTGAAGCATACAAAATATAATATTTGATACGTAATTTTAACAATTTAATATATTATGATTACCTATTCTATATGTAATTATCAAAGCAGCATGATACACCCTGTTCACCCGGTTAATAGTTTAAAAATTTAAAATTTAGAACGAGTAATGTTATTTTTATGTGCATGCATTACTCAACCGCACTCCATCCTCCCGTGACCCGTCCTAAATTTTAAACCTAAATAACTAAAAGCATTCTCTAAAACTAGGTTTCGATCAGTCAAAAATGTGTTGTGTAATGGAAATTAATACAAGTCTACTTTAATTTGCTTATATCTTCGCGAAATATCTAATCAACATCTTTTTGAAAATCAAATCTTTAAAAAACATCTAAGTGATTCTAATAAAAAACATGTATTTTCAATAACAATTATTTTGATAAATGATAATAATATAGTAATATTTTACGTTGACAAACTCGTGTAAAACAAACCAGTTTTGGATCGTCCAGAGTCCTATGTAACTATTTAATATAACCGTGTAAATCATATTTCGAAAAATGTTATTATAAATCGTAGAGAGCAAATTTAGTATTGATACTGAAAAAACAAGACAGGTATCGTTAAGATATAGCCAAAGAAGTTGAACATTAATTTCTATCAAGCTGCAATCAACTATAACTCATACGGCTTACATAGGTATTCTTCAAGAATTTCTATGTGATGATGAAATATATTAATAAAATACAAAATGCAGCGTATAGGTGTGTAACATTAACATTATACATAAATAACATTATTCCTACACTCAATTTGTATAATAATTCCTATAAGATAATGGTATAGAAATTCAAAATAAAAACAGTATTATACATATCTAAAACGGATAAAACCACTTATCCGACAAAAAAATAAAATTTGTGTAAACTATTTTACATTGATATAATGGTACTAATATGGCTTATTTCTCAAACAAATTTTTACTGGCTAAATGACATAAAGGTTAACCCAGTGATAGAAATAGATATATTATAAATGGTTTAAAACTAAAAACGCTAGTTTTATACTAAAGAAACTGACTTTCTTATTTTCCAAAAAGTTAAAAAATACTCAAAATTTAAATTGCCCATCACCGATAAATAAACATTTGAGGCCTAAAATGTTTTAGTGCCATGCGCTCAATATCTTAATAATTGTGTTATTTCATTTGAGTTTCCTTAATAAAAAAAATGAGTAGAGTATAATATTAAGTAGTGTTGTAACCTTTTTAAGTTGCGATATGTAGTGTTAGGTATAACACTACAGATAGGTTAAATTCAAGAAATTGAAGAACATTTTTTGTTGATGTTAATTGTAATTTTTAAATTATATAAAATTCAACTTTTTTATCTACTGAACATCATGAATGGTCGATTTGGAAATGTTTTTATATTTTAAAATAACCAACAAAAGTATTTCCAAAAGATATGTAGGTACAGTACGGTTTAGTCATAACATACGGGTGTCTAATATTACTAATCTTTTATAAGATTTTAAGAAAAAAATGTATTTAACTTTGATGTAAATAAAATAATAATGAGATTTTATTTTAGCGTAGGTACTACGTATTATGACAAATAATTCAGTGTAGTGTGTAGTAAGGACGTAAATAATAAATAATTATACAAAATGGTAAAAAATGTTTATTATTGGACTAAGGGTTGTAATTATTTGGAAGTTTCATAAGTTTCTAACAAATGGCGGTGTAAGTTAGTTTATCGACACAACACTTTAACATCTTTTGTTATCTAGGTTGGGTCAGCATCCAATAGATGGCGCCGTGATTTGATTTCAAACGTTTTTATCTTTATTAATTATTAGTGAATATTAATTTGACTGTATTGAATAGTTTAATATAATATTAATTCAACATATTATAATTGAGCCACAGCAATACGTAGCCGGGTCTACTATAAATAATTATAATGTATCACTTACGTTAACCGGTATTTAATAACCTACGCGAAGCCTGGTACACGAGCAGCTATATAGTATTAAATATCGACGACAATCGCGATTGCAGTAGGTAAGCAGCGACAGGTGACGTTATTTAAATATTGTAAATCGACTATTTCTGTAATCGTGATTTTTGGTTTTCCTTATGTGATATATGATATATCTTACAATGTGCGCCAAGGCAAACATTAAGATATGGATATAGTGTTGCTTTTATTTGACCTACATATTATGTTCAGTGTGTCATCGATCTTGTTGTATTGTGGGGCAATTATTTTATTTGACTCCTTCATTCCAGCAACACTGTACCGTCAACTGTGTGCAGTGAGGGCTACTGTAGCGCTACCTGGCGGACGACCACAACAACAAATGACAGTACCACAGAATTTGCTATTATCAACATTCAACATTCAATATGAAAACAAAGCTTTTCCACCGTTGACAGCAACGAGCATTATCGATTAATGATCAATAACACAAATTGCTGGCCATCGTCTCATATTAATATAGTATTTTTTTTTAAACACGAATTACCGTTTTAACGATAGTGTTCTTGTAGTCTACAAGGATCATCCGAATTCCGATCTTCAAAGCATTGTCTCCTGACTATTTGTGATTATGGCCGCTTCTCTAAAACGGTCGGAAGACAACATTTCTAATAACGGCGAATCAATAGAGAAAGGTATGTGTACCAAAAATATCCAACTAAAAATTTTAATGGCCCCTGTTTATTTTGTATTTCGTATAATTGATAAACATTTGTTGCGTTTGTTAGATAAGACTGAAACATCGGAGAAAACTTTATCGGCAAGTGTTAGTAATGCTACGTCAAATTCAGCTGAAAGCAGCGGAGGTGTTAAAAAATCTATATCAAAAAACCAATCAGAAAATGATACTAAAAAAAAACCTCATTCAAAAAAATCAAAGAAGAATGGTTAGTGTTGAACTTCTTTTTTTTGTAATAATATATATTGTGTATTTGTGTTCCAATCATCAGCAGTAAACATTTTGTATGAGAATTGTATGTAAATATTATAATAGATATCCCATTGTTGAAATAATTTATGCACATTCGGACTATTCCATTTTCTTTTAATTTTCATCGTACCCATTAGTTACATGCAATGTTTTTAAAAACTTGTTTATGTGACTGTAATATTTGTTGAATACATGATAAAAATTGGTTTTGTTAAAATAAGACTAGGATAATAAAAAATGAAGAATATTATCATTCATTATATCAAAATAATCAGTTGTAATGGTAATTTCTATGTTTTTAATAATCTTGATCATTTACATTATAAATGTAAATTTTAAATTTTTTTACAAGATTTTTTTTTTATTTGGACGATACTTATCAAAGTTCTCTAATAATATTCTCCAGTTTTGCATGAATAAGCGCACATCATATCAATTACTCCATTTAAGCTTATTTAATTATTATTTCAGTATACCTTTTCAGTGTAAGGAAGTTTTGCATTACTAAGGAGCTAAAAATAATAAATTATTAATAGTATTAGCCTAAATAATGAATAATTGAACGTTAAACAATTATAAGTGATTAGTGATTACTTTGTATAGGTTATCACTACGAAAAATTGTAGATATTAATATATATAAATTATATATTACAAACAAAATTAAGTGTTTCAATAAAATTATATTAATACCTAGTTGTTTTATATTTCAGAAAAGAAATCTGCAGAAGATCTCAAGAGTGAATGTATTGATTGTCCAGTTTGCTTAGGAACGGCTGTGATTCCTACACGTATTCCTTGTGGCCATGTATTCTGTTTCTTATGTGTTAAAGGTGCATCTAGAAGGGCGAAAAAATGCCCGTTATGCCGCCAGGCAATACCTGTTGATTTCGATAAAAATCCTACCGTACTGGAACGGCAAGAAATTGAAACACTTGATGATGGTTATCAGTGGTTTTATGAAGGCAAAAATGGTATGTGAAATGTATAGATTTATATCTATTATAAATAGCTGGACATTTTTTATATAACTACAAAAAAATTTTGTGATACTAAATTATTCGGCTTTTTCAAAAACTAGGTTTTGATTTTTAAATACCTATATAAAACAACCAAAATGTAATATTGTATATGTACCCACCCTTATTTATAAAGATATTCTAAAATTTAAATAAATATGTTTCACGATAATAACATGATATAATTATTCATTTATTTTTAGGTTGGTGGCAGTATGAAAAAAGAACATCGGAAGAAATTGAACAAAACTTTAAACTCAGCAACATGAAATTCGATTTACTCATTTGTGGTACTATGTATACAATAGATCTTGATCGAAACGTGCAATTCAGTAAGGAATGTCCTAACAGAAGAAGAAAAGTGAAACGAGAAAATGCCAACAACATAGCTGTTAAAGGTGTTGCCGGTGTTCATTAACTATTCCAATTTCTCTATTTTAACTTTTATTGTATACATCAATTTAAACTTTATGAAACATTTTTGAATTTTAATTATTATACTCATCAAGACTAAACACGATTTATTATACTTAAATAATCATATTTAAGTAAAATTTAATTCTTTTGCCTTAATTATGAATTTTATAAATCTTGCAAAGTATGTAAGTGATAAGTGTTATTGTTGTTAAGTAGTTTCATCAGTCTATGAATAGATTTTATTCTAAATTCATTTTATGGTGTGTTAAAATATTGAATAATTAAAATTATGGAACAATGTTATATTTTTAATATAATAAATAATATAATTATAAATGTTGACACTCATATAGTTTATATAAAAATTTATCATAACGCTATAATGGTTTCAGTATCGGTGAGACATTTTCGGAACTGTTATTTTTGTATTTTCGTTTTGTGGTTTCGTTCCATGGTTGTACTTTTGCTGAACCCAGCTCTATAAAGACTATATTAGTGACTACAAGGATGGCCGCAGATAACCAAAACACATTGCGCCATTCTTCCATTGTACTCTGTAATAACCCAATGGTTTGTTTGTTAAATTTTTTCATATGTATTTTTCTAATTTTAAAATACTAACGTTTGGAACCATTAAGCCAACAATATAAGGAGCTACTGTTCCCGATAAACACCCAATGGTGCCTACGATTGCCAATAGGGTTCCAGCAAAATTGGGACTCAGATCTAGAGCGTTGACTTTTAGGCTTGGCACAAACGTGCCCATCAATCCCATACCCAATGTAAAACTAAATACGGCCCACATCTTGTTACAGCCAGAATACGAAGCCGACACAATTCCAATAGCCGGTCCAACGCTGGCTAAAAAGTAACATGTAGATCTCATTTATATTTTAATCATGTTATGGGTGTGATAAAAATGTATTACCTATAGTAACAAAGAATTTTCGGATAATTGTCACTGAAAAGCGTTTGGACGCTATGAGAGAATCGACGATAAATCCGGAGCTCATAGCAACAAACCACATTAGTATATATGGTAATCCAGACAAAAATCCGTTCTGTAAATCATTAAAACAATAGCATTACAAAGCGTTACAACTAAAAATAAAAACCCACCTGGGCTACTGAAAAGCCTAACACGGACTTCATGTACTTGGGCAGATCGGTAATCATGGCGAAAAGGCCCCAATCGTGTCCTATGTGAATGATAATCAGTGCCCATACTGGTCCACATGTAAAAATTCGTTTCCAGGGTATAATTAATTTTTCCTAAAATAGTAAAAACATTACGTTGTAATATTATTGATCAGATTTAAAGTTTTACTCGAATCTCGAGTGAACACTGACCACATCTCTAGGATCATTAGTTTGTATTGTGTTGCTCAAGTAAAGTTTTTCTTTGGTGCCAATAAACGGATGCTGGTTCGGATGATTATACACTATAAACATCCAAAACGTGAGCCAAAACACACCAAGGGAACCGAACACGTAAAAAACACTGGTCCAAGAACTTGTGTAACGTATGAGGAAACCTCCCATTTGCATTGAAAGTACATTTCCCACTTGCGCTCCTTAAAATAACGTACAATTAAATAATAAAAAACTTAAACAATTTAATTTAAATTTATAGTAGATATAAAATATGTTATGTTAGGTACTATATTAAAAGTTAAAACCAAAAACCGTCATTAGATTTCAAATGTGAACAAAAATACACCGTCTAGTAAAAACGTATAGTTATAATAATTAAGAGGACGTCACACACCTGTTTTCTTCAAAAAACCCGCCTTGCGCGGATTAATTTTACAAAGGCTATAATCAAAACTAAGAAACCAAATTTTTACATAATATAGATAACAACATTGTCTGTGTTCTACCATGGCCCTTTTTTAAATATTTCAACCAGTTAATGAATAATTAATTAATTAAGAAAGGACTTTTTTGACTTTTTTAAAAATGATATAGCGTTGTCTTAGGTATACCGAAAAAATATGGATGATGGAACACAGATAATTTTATCATAAATAATATGTATGAAGATTGAAGCCTGAGAAAAATTAATCCGCGTAAAACAGTTTTGATGGGAAAAAAATTGTAATTTATCCTATAGACATGACTGTGATAGCCTGGCAAAAAAAGGCAATCAAAAAATTATCCTTATTACTGTATTAATAAGTATGCATTATAATTCAAACTCTAAATTAAGATTTTCCGAAAAATTGTCTACACTTTACTCCTTAGAAATGGCCGGTGTGGTGTCAGGATTGCATGCGGTTGGTTTTTAAGGAGTTTTGTATAGGCATTATTTAAGACAAAAATGGTTTTAATAAATTTCGATCATGTCAATTAATTTACCGGTTAATTTGTAAAAGCTTCATGGTATTATTTTTAATTTAAATTATTTTGTCTATGAGTAAAAACCATTTTAGTTAATATAAAATACATTTTTTGTTCCATCGCACAGGCTGAACCAGTCATCCGACAAGTAATTTGAAAACAGATTTGAATTCGTCATGAAGTTAACTTATTATCGGTCAGGGTACTTTTTAATATCTTATTTCTACTATGTATAAAACACGTCTGAATATTATATAATTTTAAAATCAAATTTATAAAGAGTTAAAATTAAAAATTGAAAAAAGTACCCTGACCGATCATAAGTAAACTTCATGGCGAATTCAAATCTGTTTTTAGATTGCTTATCGGATCACTGGTTAGGTCTGTGCAATGGAATAAAAATGAGGTGTTTTGACTGAAAAAACCGACCGCAAATATAATAACTATAATACAATAATTAAATATTTTTAAAATCTTGTCAATCGTGTTAATTACTATTATTATTGTAAAATAATATTTTTAAATCGGTTAATTTTTAAGAACTTAAGTTTTTTCTACAGGTTACGTATGAGATACATATAAACCTATCACTGTAAATCTAATGGTACAACTATTGCAATTTTCAAATTAGCTGAACATACCAGCGAAAACTAATGATCCCAAACGACCACGTTCTTCTATGGGCACCCAAGAAGCTAGAAGTCTATTCATCGATGGATATATAGGTCCCTGAGTACAAACAGATTAATTGTCTATTAATACAAATAGGATACAATACTCGTACAATATGTAGAGAGTTTTTACAAAACGTAAAATTAACCAACGTTATGTCGTTATCTACATGGTACATACAACTGTATTTAATATACAATTTTAATATACTATGTAGTATACATTTATATATATATCGATTAATTGTGAAATACTTAACGTTAAACAATAGTATCTAATTATTTAAATGTGTAATAACGGTTGATCTATATAGGTACACTATTTTACATTTTTACCCTACCTATACAAAAGATTTTTTAAAGAAGTGTGCCAAATAAAATATTGACTATTGTAAATGTATTAATACAAAATTGAAAATAATTGAATGAATAAATACACATTCCCGAAAGTAGGGTCAGAATAGGATAATTGTAAATTGGGCAGGATTTTAAAAGTTTTGTAAATTGTACTACCACCTATTTATTTACACCAAAAGAAATGTTTGCGATAAATTCTTAAGTATAATAAACCTACCGTAAATCATGATACACCTATCATTAGAAATGTATCCAAGTTATTAAAATTTGAATTTATATATTATATAGCCCACAAATTCACAATTAGTAGTTAAGCACGCCTTACTTTTTTTTAAAAGAGTATTTACAAGCACAGTTTTTAAGTGATATGTTTTAATGTACGGGACATTCCACGCCAAGTGGAAACTACTAAAACTTTTTTCATGTCTGCTCGTTTTTTTTTAATTTTTACACGAATAATTTATTATTAGTCGCTTAGGATTGATGAATATCCAGTTCCTTGGCATTTTTTCCGAACTTAACGATAAAAAAATTTGAAATTACGTCAAACCATTTACCCGAAAAAAATCACTTTGAAAAATACTTTTGCAATTTTCGGCTCTTTCGACCTTTTTGATATTTTTGAAAGTGGATAGATGAAAAGCTCGACTATTGTACTATAAATTATGTCAATTTTAAAGTGAGATGGTAATTATTACCACGTGAAAAAAATAGTGGCGTAACAAGAGTTTAAGCGGCCAGAAGCAAGACATTTTTTTTAAACCGTACAAATTCGCCCTAAAATAGAATACGCCCAGGGGCAGCTACGCCACTGGAAAAGATGGAAACCCCCACTGATGCAGTAGCGTATCTAGGATTTTTCCACGGATGGGGATATACAGATTTGAACAGCCATACCTATTCAATATAAACATATATTCATATTATTTTAATACATGTTGCATGTAAAATGGATTCTTAACTACAAAACAAAGTCTAATTTTCTTGAGAACAGTGAAAGAATATTGAGTACTTCATCAGGTGTGACTGTTATATTATTGTTTACTGATATGGCCCGGGGGGGGGGAAGGAATATAACCCCAATATCACCTCCGTAAATACGCCACTACACTGATGCGGACTGTCTTAGTTCAGGGGGTTCGCGTTGTCAAGCTATATTTATTATTTTCACTCAGTTATAATTCCTATCCCACTCTAAAATTGACTTATTTTATGATATTTAAATTCTTAAATTGTATATTTAAGGGTAAAAAATGGTTTATCTAACGTAATTTCAAATACTTTATTATTTTTTTTTAATTTTAATAACATTTACAATCTGTACTTAAAGAAAAATATACAATAAGCAAATATGTTAACATGTAAATAAATGATTTGGAGACTACGAGTAGGGAAGCTATCCAGTGATATAATAGATATATCGTAGACTTAAGACTAAAGTACAGGAAAAAAAATGCTTAGGAACTCGTTGTTCTTCAATGCTAAGCGATTTTATTTTTTATTTGGACATGAAAAAAGTTCAACTATCGAATTTTTATGTAAGAACACTTGGTGTAGACTGCCCCATATACCATTTACCATCTATCGATATATTTTATGTAAAAAAAAATATATACTTTTTAATACAATTTTCAGATTTTAGGACGTTATTTATTAATTTAAAAACGCCAGCAATGTTTTCAATTAATTCTATATTCACTTTTACCTCACTTAACCTGCATTAAAAGCTATAAAGTTAAGTTTCATTAGCCTTTGACGTAAGCCTCGGTAGCGCAGTAGGCAGCGCGTAAGTCTCATAATCTTAAGGTCGTGAGTTCGATCCTCACCCGGGGCACATACTTTTTTCAAATTTTTATCATAATGGTAATTTTAGTGGCTTATTTTAAAGATACAGATATTTTTAACAATTACTATAATTTTTATTTTCAAAAATATACTGTGATTAATCCATTATTAAATTTACTTCATGTGCCTAAAATATTTATGTATTTTTAACATTTGGTTTTTAATTTTTATAACAATTTTTAAGACATTTTTTTCAGTCATAAATTAAATTCAAATTTTGCTGTTAATTTTTTTATAATTTAAATTTTAAGTTTATAGACAAAATGTTAACTTTGTGATGTAGCCTTTGAGCTATTGGTGGAAGCTAAGTCTTCTTATTTACATAAGTCTTATGAGGATTTAGTGTCCGCAGTTTAAATTTTTGCTATCGAATTTTCTATGGAAACAAAGTATAACTTTTTAAAGTACATCAGCCTGTACCGTAAATAGGTATGAAATATATACATCTTTAAATAATTGCATAACACTTTTATACATTTAAACTTAAAAAAAATGTTCGATGCTTGATGTAATATATTAAAATAATCATATTAATGATTACCTGTGCAAGTCCAATGCACAATCGCAGCCCTACTAGAGCAATGGGGCCGTACGATCTGGCAATATAAGGCGTCAATAAAGTTCCAAAACTGCTTAACATCACACCTAATGCTACGGTGACTTTGCCTCCGTAATTATCGGCTAGCATACCACCAGGTATTTGAGTCATCACATAGCCCCAGAAGAACGAACTTAGCACCAGTCCTTGGGTTTTTTCATCCCAATCGAATTCCAATTCCTGTAATAAAAACAAAAAATATTGTTTTGTATATTTATATATATATATATATATATATATATATGCATATTTATTTATATCCTCAACCAATCTAAAACTCAACGAACAAAAACATTATAGCTAAGTCTTGTAAGTTAATTTATTAATTATTTATCCAACTTTTTTTATTCGTCTAACTGTATAAAAAAAAGAATCTACCAAAATAATTATTTGAAAACCATTTTCCAAAAAATAACTTTAATACTATTCATAATATTTCCACCCTCGGACCTCAACCCGAAACCATCAACAAGCTTATTAATTTTATTACCCAAACCTAATTAAGCAGTTATTTATAAAAAATGTACTGTTTCTACACAGTGTTTCGCTTTTCAATATTTAATTAATGTAGTCAAATGTATTGTAATTTATGTAAATATAATTTAATGTAACCCAATGGCCTTTGCCGCCGAGGGAAATAATAAAAATAAAAAAACAATATTTCCCAAAAAAAAATGAAGTGTCTAAAACATAATTCCCTAAAAAAACATAACGTAAGATTTAACGTATTAGTATACATTTTTTTGAAATTCCGAATCAGAATGAATTAAAACTGCCTACTCAAACCCCTTTAAAACACAGCTGGTTATTTTTAAGACACGGAGATTAACAGATATTATAGATATTGACAAAATAAACTTTTTGGGTTCACTATACTAAAATCTTCTCGCTCCTAAACATTCATAAGTCAAAACGCGAATTCGGTAAATTAACAAAATTTCTTTTCTCTTCAATAAATTACAATATGCATAATAAATATTTTATCAATATTATCATGGCATGTGTATTATAGTTAAAAGTCAATGTTCTTAATAATAAGTGATGGGAACGTTCATATTATATCATAATAGTCTATAATAATTTGATTAAATAATATTATATATTTTTAAACATAATAATAATAATAATAATAAAAAAGTCAGTTTTCGGTCACGGTCCACATGGACTAAATAGATTAGATTAGAGTAAAGGTTAAAAATGGTCTTTGCAATATACTTTTAGCCGTCAAACATGATAGGTAGAATATATTATATTCTAAGGCGGAAGGCCATCGCCGCCGGCACTTTCAATTACAAAGTCGGTCATGATATGACCATCAACTATTAATAATTATTTAGTACGTCAATATTTTTAATTTCGCACAGCGTTAAAAATTATTAAGCGCTGAGCGAGTAAAAAGACAAGATGATATTCTATATTCTATATTTTTTATTTTAGAAATTGTACAATCTGTACATTTTTTTTTTCTACAATAAGTAGTCGTACAAGTGGCGAGTTTTTATAAAGCAATATAAAATAATAACTAAAAAAATTCTATTTAATTAATTAATTATAATTTAACGAGGATAAATGACTATCTAGAAGCTAAGATACAATTCATTCATATTTTTAACTTTTTGCCTACGAGAATTGATTTTTTTCGACGACAATTTTTTAAAGGAATTTAGTATGATTCAAGGTGGTAATGACTTATAAATCAGTACCGCGTATTGGCGGTTATGGGTAGCGTTTCGGGACGAGTAATCGACGAGGCGCTCGGCAGATAGTGCAACGATCCGGGACGGCCGACGTACCCGACGGTTACGCCTGAGGAACTTGGATTTTTAAGGCACACAGCCCTAAAGAAACCCCACTATCGTTATGTTGCATGATGTTTCCCAAATCCCATACCCTCGACCATCCTCCTCAAAAGCGTAGAGAAGCCCCGTTGACAGTTTATACTATAGTGTCCGACTGTCAAAACCTCCCCTTACCCCAGCCCTGTCTGCTTTAGGATATAAAAAATTACCCTATTATATCCCCATACCCCTGAAAGTTAGGGAAGGTAAACGTGTTAGAGTAGCAAAACCGATACGTTACAGTTATTATAATTTGTTTGGTAGCAACTAAACACGGATTTTAAGACTCGTATGAAAGAAACTTTTTCTTTTAATTGTTATTATAAAATTTAAATACGACTTAATTTAATTTAAAGACTAGGTTGTCTTCAGTATCTATTTTCATAAATAAGGCCCCTAACAGTTTGAAACCGAACGTCCTTGACAGTCGGATAGTAAAAGACAATTGCTAATTAAGTATTATCTTCATTATTAAACCCGTTTTGATGTTCAATAACGCAGTTAACTTATATTGTATCCGCATCGATCAAATAGCTTTAATAATTACCCGGAGGAAATCAAATAAAATTGTAATAAGTCGATCGTGGATATAATAATTTTTGGATTTTGGAACAAGAATTATAGTAGTACTATCATCAATATATTTCACGGTAAATCCAAATTTGTCCTCAGATTCTCTATTCTGGCACGATTTTGAATACACATAAACAATCAACGCCAATCAATCACGTACAATCACAATGTCAATATCAAAAGAACAGTTGCAAAAAAATATGGAAGATTTTTTGACCAACTAATGTGTACTTACGAAACAACTCGAGAAATTGTACACGGTGTCACACTAACATTTGAGACAATCAAGAAAGAAGTCCAGTAAAACAAACAACAACAAATCAGTTTTGAGAAAACAACCAGAGCCAATAACGAAAAAACAACAACTAACATAAATACGAATTATGAAGAATACAAAAAACAAATAAACAAACAAATTGAAGACGCTATTAAATAACAGCAGGAAAGTCATTCAATAGTAGAAGCAAAAATTCAGTCTTCCGTTACCAATTTGAAAGTGATATCTTCAATAAACAACGAAAACAACGTGCCCATAATAGAGGAAAAATTTAAAGAAGCCAGAATTATAGGGGCCGATTTCTTAGATAGCAATCATGCCCTGTGCAAATTCAGAAGTGCACACTTATTTGTGTCAATAATAAACAAAGAAAAAGTAATAACGCCGTCTTTAGGAAAAATGGCAACCCACCCAACATTCGTTCAAATACAATCAATCGGTGCCGGATCACGGGAGACGATTCAGACACCCCCCTGTAAAAAACTCATATTGGCGACTTATAAGCGCGACAATTAGCAACAGCGAGCTAAAAGGTTCTATAAATAAAGTGTTACTACATCCCGAACCCGGACTTATACAGCCCATATTTGAGCACGAGCATATAAATATTCGACAACGCCCTTACACCGTGCCTATGTCACGCAAAAAAACAGTGAACTTGGAGACGTCGCAATTTTGTATGCAAGAAGTAAAGTTCATCTTGCATATTATCAATTCAAATGGGATCAAAATGGATCCTGAAAAAGTGAGGGCAGTGCCAGATTATCAGGACCCCCTGACAAGATGTCAATAACATCTTGGGTTCCTAAATAACCATTGAACATATATAAATGGACCGCTTAAATACCGTAGTACGCCTCAGTGATTTGACCCGTGGCCGTGGGCAACAACCATTCAAGTGGGGCCCTGAGGAACAAAAAGTATTCATAAAATCTCAAGGATTATTTCTCAAAAACATAATACTTCAATACCCAGATTTTTCAAAACCGTTGTTTGTGGTCCTTGCCACTGAATTATTCTTAGAAAACAACGATGGTGGACATAAGACACTCTATTTTACCGGTGCTCAACTCCACTAAAACACGATACTGTACCACTAAACTCGATGCCCTCGCTGTATGCCTGTCGAAAAAGTCACTATTATAATTATCCAGTTATTGTATTTACTGATCAGCATGCACTAACATTTTAACCGAGTCGGTAACTATTGTCCAACGTAAATAATAAATTAAGATTTTAAGAAATTATAATATTAGAACATCGGTAGATAATAAGAATTTTTATTGTCTATGAAAACTATAAGTATAAGACCCTACACCAACACGGTGCGACTGTTTTAGAACGAAGGTTGCAAACCAGTTTTACTATACAACTAGTTTACAACCAGAACAAAACTTGTGTCCGCACACTGACAAGACTGTTTGTGTATCAGTTGGTGTTATCTACTCAAACAAATTGTTTAAAACAATGTAGTTGGTTTTACGGTTTTTACTATGTCGAATTCAGATTTGGACGAGGAATACATCATGGATTATTATCAATACCGCAGGGTACAGTGGGAGCATGGGGTACAAATGGGGAAATGTGGCTGTTTGTGGCAGCAAAAGAAGTGTCTCAGATTGATAGAAAGTTTATAGCTTTTTACAAAATGTCGAAGGAATCTTTCCATATCAAGCTGAATTTTGGCATACACTTTTATAACGCCGTTATAAACAACGTATGGAAAGTCCCCATCGATACCATGTGCGCTTCAAAGGTTATTCGAGGTTAGGTTTAACGATAAAAAGTTTCAAATAAAAAATTATTGAAGAGATATTTATCTACAAAAAAGTCTTTTGACTTTTTTGTGTACGAGTTATTGTTATTGCACTATACGGCCTACAATGTGCTAACTATTAAAAACAGTTTTATTATATTAGTTTCTTGGTGGTCGTAGGAACCGTAGAGCGCTTACTGTGTTGTGAAGTGCATAATACACGTGAATAATAAATTAGCACTTTAAGTAGATAATAAAGAATTCCTACTGTCTATGAAAACTATAACCCGATTTATAACTCAATTTTCGATTATTATATATCTTGATTTATATGGTTGTCGTTATTATATAGTTGTTAAATTGTTAATGGTTATGATAAAAAATTTCGAGCGTTTTTACGCGTCTCGATGCACTGCTTTGGTGTGCTTCGCGGCATGAATATGCTTTTTCTCATACACTTCTTGGCCACTTACTACAACCTCACTGCTTTGGTGTGCGCCAGGCCTTATAGAACGCAGCGAACTACTTATTGGCCGAATCCACGCGATGGGCATTAGCTCTACAGGAATAAATCAATGACCTTGTAAGTTCAAGGAGATGTGACGCTAAATACGGACCATCAACCAAGTACATCACATCAATGGCCTTGCACGTTCAAGGGGATACGACGCTGAATACGAACAATCAACTGAGTACCTTAATGGTCTCGCCCGTTCAAAGGGTGCAGCATGCATTTCTATTAGACGGAATTTTTTTTTGTCGGGTGAAGCTTCCTATTTTCTTAATGGCCGCTAAAAGGTAGATTTTTATTTAGCCAAGTTTAGTGTAGTCGTGTAGTTCTATTACCCCCTCTGACAATTCCATACGAATAAATAAAAAAGTATAGGCGTAAGTTAGTTAGATATATTAGAAAAAAGTAAACATATAAACTCGTATTATACGATTTTGAAAATAATAAAAAAAATCTACATGTTAGCCTCTTAGGAAAATATTAAACTTTATAACAACAAATGTTGAAATCGATTCCGTAAACACTTCAGAAAATGACTTCTCGTTTTAGTTTTAGTATACCCCTATTTTTTTTCTTTATTAAATTATGCATTCAATACAATTTTTACATACTTTTTCGGGTACAGTAACGTTACGATTGAGTGTTTCAGTTACACATATTCCGGAAACATTTGACAAAGTGTGATGGTGTCCATCGGCCATTTCTGTGATTGCTAAGCTCAAACAAAACCGTTGGACATAGCTGATGGCTAATGCTATGAAACCCAATACACTTAGTAGATACCTCTGCTGTACGAAGCCAGCCTTTCCTAAAACCAACACAAATTAATTAATTAATAAATATTTTTTATTTCGTCGATTGAACGCGTAAGAATCCATCCATCACCAAGTTTTTACTTCACACTTTTTCATGTCTGTTTGTATAAAAACATTTTTGTTGGTACATCATAAATCGGTTTTCAAAATAACATAATACCTAATATTCTCTAAGTTTTTTTTACTACATATGAACATAGTTTTTTGTACTATATGTATGTACATGTTAAACAATTTTAGCTGATTAGTATAGTTATGTAATCACAATTATTAGATTCTTTGAAAAATATTAATTTTTTAACATCGACACTAATATTATACAAAAGCCTACAATATGTTTAATAACAACTTAAAATCACGTGTTCACTTTTGAATGATTATTATAAATTGATGTGATTATCAAAATAAAACCTGTGACGTATCTGACCTATGATTAGATAATCAAGTATTACTTGTTTAAAAACAAATGTAAACAACTAATCTTATAAGATACTGATAATTGATAAGTAATTTTTTTTTTTGTTATTTTCCATACTAATTATATTAGGTTTGACGCGTATAGAAAACATAATTATTTGTTAATATTGGACTTTTAACCCAAAATTAGCTGTACAAATATTTAGTGGGTAATGTTTATAAAGGTTTCCCGTGTATATCAAAACGTGAATATAACGAAAATAGTCGCAGCGATCTGCAATTTTTTAACTTTATGTAAATGTAGGTACGATATAACTTAACGGCAACAATATTAATTATGTTGTAAAACTTGAATTTACCTATTATAGTTTACTACCATAATCGTCACTTCTATATCGTTTATATATTTCTATATAATTTTTATAATTTTTAAGTATAGTAATAATAATAAATAATATATTACAATGTTTTATGATACAAAAAAATTCCAAATTTATAGCATATCTTTTAAATTTTGTATTCTTTTTTAAATTTCAAATTTTTTTAGATTTTATAATTTGCCGTCTGCGTGGTCTTTAATTTTATTAATAACATCCGTAATCCATTATGTATGCAGAAGTGTTATGAAGTCTAATAACATTAATTAATAACGTTAAAACAATTGCAGTTTGTTATAAAAAACAATTTGTACATAGAATTCTTACCAAATTTATTCCATAATACATAGTACATTTTAATATTATGTTAACCTAGGAATTTTTTTTTAAATTAAAGGGTTATACGTTTTCTACAGTTTGACAATATTGGTATCAAACAAAAATGATATTTAATAAGCTAAAGTAATACAACGAAATAAAATAATGATTTTACTATATGACTAAAATAGCTGATTAGGAATACTATTCTAATGAATATTGACACAAGTCGCAGGAGTGCTAAGTACCATGCATTTTAAAGCTAGCTTCTCAAATCTCGTGGCTATGGTACACCTATTATAACATTCCCAAAAAAATACCTACCAAGAGTAGGAATAATTCAATACATTATCAATATTAGAGTTTGTTAACCAGAAACAAAAGCTAAAATTAGCATTTAATTGTTAATACCTCTCAAAACCACTATTGAAGTAAAAATTTGAGTCGATAAACATAACAATTATTGTCGAAAAACATACGTTTTTACTTATAATTTGACATCTATTCAAGATTTCCGAGCACATTGAATGCTTGTGCATATATTAAAGGTAGTACAATATCCACTAGATTAGGCTGTTAAAAAATAGTAAAAACTCATAAGTATATAACCATGGCTAATCCGCACAGATATTATTGCTTTGATAAAATTGTAAAACCATACCTATCTATAGTGTTTTTTATTTTTTTAAATTGCGTGTACTTATTATAATAAAGGAAAACTAACAACGAGCAACATTGGAATTTGGACAAATAAATATCACAGTACTTTTTACTACGAGTAATACAAGCATTTTTTAATCTCATTGTACGCAAACAATTTAACCGTAAATATATTCAATTAAATTTCGTTTACATGTTTTTTATATATTTACTTAGTTATAAACTTCTACTGCTTGTTCTCTATTTTTCTATAACAGATTTAGTTGAGTACGCCAAATACAACTTCACAGAAAAAGTGAGTAAAATACAAAGTACAACTGGTAAAGAGTATGAGTAGGTATAAAGCGTCAATGCATAATATGTATACACAAGTGCTAAAAGATTATTTAAAACCTTTTTTTATTTTTGCAACAGAAGCAAACAACTTACGTTTTACTAGAGTAAATATAATCGTAATAAAAGATGATAGTAATAGAAACGTTTATCAAATCAAAAAATATGTAACGATTATAATTTAGTAGTTATAGATTTAAAAATTACTAAATAGACTATATTCTTTAATCACGGACTATTCTATAAATTTAAATTAGCTTTATTTATCGAATTTAAAAAGCAGATCAAGCGCAATATAAATGTATATGAATCAAAACACCAAATACGAACGAACGTTTGAAGAGACCCCCGAATTTTTTTTTGAAAATTACAATGCATTTTTATCATGAAAAGATTATTCTCAAATTGTTTTGATTTTTTTTCGATTTTTTTAGTCATAGTCGTAAAAAGTATTTTGAGTTTTTTTCTTGACTAGTCATTTTTATCATTTTTTTATAGGATCATCGGCAAAAAAAATGTATTAAAAATCAGTTTCTAATGTAAAATAATCTCAGCTTTCTGAAAAAAATATTAGAAAAAGTCTCAAATTTTGGCAACATGAAAAAACCAAGTTTTTAGATTATATACTAAATTTTATGACTTTCTGTTACTCGAAAAATTAAATTAAATTAATTTTTTTCAGAAAGCTGAGATAATATATTTTACATAAAAACTGATTTTTAATCATTTTTTTTTATGACTGAAGATACTATAAAAAAAATTATAATAAAGAATTGTCGAGAAAAACACTAAAAATACTTTTTACGTCCAATGGCCTAAATATTAAAAAAAATTTTTTTTAAATTTGAGAACAATCTCGCAGGAGGACGCTTAAACGTTCTTTCGTGTTTGTCGTTTTGCCTCATATATATATGGTCACACAAGAGATACCGGCGACTTACCTTTTTTAGACGGCATCGCTTTGGCCTAGAATAAAATAAACAAATACTGCAGTAATAATAATATTATGATTATCTACGGTAACAACGGTGTGCGTTTCTCATTGGTAAATTTATCACAATGTTAAATTTAAAAAAAATATTTATTATTAATTTAATAAAAAAAAAAAGTCAAGTTAAGTGCGGAAGTAGTCCAATTTTGTATTTTTTTATACATTTCTACACGACAGATGACCTATACCTACATCTATCGCGGTCGACTGAAAGAGTAACAATAACAAGTAACAACAATCACGAAACGACACAGACTAGGTAGTTGCAAACGTTCACGGCTATACTCCGGACCACGGCTGTAAAAAAATGGTTGCATATCGGCCTATACCTCGCCGCAATATTCGATCGGTGGCTACAAAGTTCTTTTTTAAAAATATGAAAAAGTGATTGACTGTTAGCGCTCCTCGTGGATAAATCGTCGAACTTATCATTTTTCCCTGATGATCCTTGTTATATTCAGTCGCGTTTATGATGACAGCCGGTTTCACAGTGAAAAATCCGGGATAGCAACACTTTTCCCAAATTGCATGCGTTATCAAGGACCATTTTTCCATTATACACTTTTTTCCAATGACAAGTTTCTCATCAGATCTTTTTAACTTTAGTGTTTTTAACTAAACTTTAAACCTGTAACCTCATCATAGACTGTAGCCTGCAAACCTTTTTTGGTTTAGCGGAGCCGGGCGAGTGGTGAGTGCCCAACTGCCAACATCCGGTGACCTGCTGTCCTTATCAGTTTGAAGTCCGCTCACTGATAAGAAACTCGTCATTGACATTGGTAATTTATGCAATTTGGGAAAAGTGGTAGCAATCCCAAGGATCCACAATTTATTCACAGGATATTCAGTGAAAGATAATAACTTCCACGATTTGTCCACAAGGAGCGCTAGCAGTCACTCACTTTTTCATATTTTTAGAATAGAACTCTTGTGGCCACTTTTTCATAGCTCGATATGCAACCAGTTTACCTACAGCCGCGCTCCGGACACTTTAAGAAGGTACCTCGTCGAGTCGGCGGCGTCTGGTTTCCACCCCGCAACATCTTCATAGTTCGTCACGGCCTACTGTGCATACAGATACAAGCTACGCGGCGGCGGCAGACCTGTACCTTCTTAACGTGTCCGTAGTATGTAAATTGTAAGCTTGTTGAGCACGCCTACTTGCAATGTTTATTAATATTAATTGCATCAAAAGAGTATACCGACGCTGAAATCGCCTTTACATAAGTTCTACAAATACAGTAAAAATTATGTACAGGTAATCAGAACCAAGGTCATATCTGCGGAGGGGGAGGGTATATGGAGTCCGGACCCCTCCAGAATTTTGTTCAATAGCTTTCAATTTTTTTTTAAAAAAACCTCATGGTTTTATTCTTTATTTTGGACTCTCCCAAAAAAAAGGCGCCGGATAAATGTCTGAACCAGACATACCTAATAGCATTACAACGGGATAGTCATTTAAAAATAACAGAACTAAACATATATTTTATGTTCTAATAATTTCAGAGCAATAGCACGCTTAGCACACTTGTACTCCAAATTAACGTTTAGTTACTCTCCCTTACCTTACCACCTTGCTAGTCCCAATCGTCTAAAAACCCCTTTAACATTGAATAATTTATTAAACCAGTACCATAAATGTTTGTCAACGATTTAGTTTTTGTAATTAAGTAAATCAACACAAAAAGCCTAGGCTAATAATTTTTAAAACTGCCCTAATGTCCTATAATTCAATGATGATCGCGCCGAGTGATATAATACATTATTAAGGCGAATACTATGCGCGGGAGCAAATAAACAGTAAAATAAAACACAATTTTTTATAATTACAATATTAATGTCGGTTAATAATGAACAATAAAAACAGTACAAATTACATTTTTACAAATTGTAAAAATCGTTCATAAAAACAGAACTGCGTCATTTTATTTGTTTATTAAGCATGTATACCAATTCCCCAGTTTAATACTTCAACAATTTGTGTATTAGCTGATATCGTGGAGCTTATATCATTTTGAATTAATTATTCCACAAAAAACTTAGTGTTGTAAATATACCAGTTATCAATAAGTAAATTGCATTAAAATAACAAGTATAGTGTACTTTATCATTTGTCATTTAGTGTACAATTTTACGCATAATTAAAATACGTCATAATGGCTGAATTCCAAGTTATAAAAAAATCTCTTAAGTAATTGTAACTAGTTTTTTTTCAAATCATATGTTGTAATTTAAACGGGGAAAACAAAGTTTTAGTAGCATATGTAATTTGTTTTCTTATATAATAATGACTAATGAGTAATCTTAATAGTCATCAATAATTGTTTACACAAATTTGAATAATCACTAACATTACCTATTAATATTTTTGATTTTGACAAAACAGGCATATGTTGTACTACAGCGTGTAATACCGATAGCAGGAATCGTTTGAGCGTCCTTTGACTTGTTAACTACCAGGCTAACAATTATGTTTATTAATAAGCACGCAGGTAATAAGGTAATTTATGTTTTTCCCAGCTGCAGATAGTTGTACGCAGCGTACAAAAATATAGTTCGTTTGTCAAATAATGTTGTTGGGGTCGTTAACGGATATACAAGTACAAAATGGGTATCAAATATTTGCACGATGAAAAATGGTTTATGAAAAATATTATTTTGAAGATTCCAAAGGCTTGCGACAAAATTACCTTGTACAGAGGTTTAGCCGCATATTACCCGTCTCAGCATTTGGTTGTCAAAACAAAATAGGAATTCGTTATTGGTCAGTGCGAACTTAACGCACTTGTGGTGAAGGCTAATAATTTATTGCCAATATTGACATGTTAAAAGTTAAAATCGTCTGATTAGTTAAGTATATAAAGACATCAACATAGCAATATTATAATTTTGTGTATATTTCAAATATGTAGGAGACATATTTAACATAGGATCGCAATAAGATTAATTGTCGGCAATAATAATATAATTTAAGGAGGCCAGGCCCTCCTTAAACCTACTCTGGCCCAGGGCCGGCCACCCTCAAATTTAAAATATAATTATTTTTACTAAACGTTTAAAAAATGTGCTAGGACTTTACACGTTGAAATAAGTCTATTGTGATTACTATTAGCCATTAGGTAATCGTTATTATTATTACTGCATTTTAATTTTTATACTCCGAAAAAACGTTATCTAGATAAATAATAGGGTCTATTTTAGACAAATTATAAAATGGACTACCCATTGGTAAAATTATATTTAATTTAAAAATTATTGATCACTTATATTTTTATTAGTATTTATTTATTTATTATTTTTATTTAGTTATGAATTAATTGTTTTTAATATAAGTTGAAAAATTGAATCAGCTTTTGTTCTAGATTTCTATTTTTTTTTTTAATCTTAGGTAGGTACTAACTACTAGTTAGTACCTACTTAAAATGGACAGTAGTTAATAACATAATCGGATGTCGATATGTTCTCTAGGGAGTGTTTTGAATAAAACAAAAAATAGTTCTACTAGGTGTCATCCCCGTTCCTACAGTACATCGTATAATATATTATTTCTCATTTATAGTTTTGGTAATCTTTTTCGCTACTAAAATACCTAACACTCGTATAAACAAGTAATTACGTTGAAAGTTATACCCTCTACTCTCCAGCTAATGCAATAATTAAGTTTTAAATAGGTATACAACATATTGTATACATTTCAAATTTATTTTAAAAATATATATATATATATGTATGAATATATATGTTGTATATATATATATATATATATATATTTATATTTTTTTTAAAAAGATTTTCGTTTCTTACCTCCTTTAGAAAGCCGACACCCGGTTCCTTAAGTAATGTCCGATTTCTGGACTTTTATCACATCAGAATCGATCGAACACGCCAACAGATATTTACTATTTTTTATGATATGTAATTGTTTGATTTTTATTTCATTTTATGACCCAGAAATCGGTGCATTGTATAAAATAATATTTAGCCTACTGCCTAGTATAGTAAATTGAAGAAAAATATAATACATGGTAGGTAGTAGGTACCTACCTAAAATATGAGAGTCAGCGTAATACGATTTGCTACAGTCGATGATCGATAACAATAATATTATTATTATACATGCGAGTTTTGCATTTGATCGGTTGAAAAATATAGTATGTTGTCTACAGTTCATTCGCGATGCCATGCCATGACATAGCAAGGTGATGGTCACACAACAACAGCACAAACAAACTGTCAAGGTCTCGCTGCACAAATTTAATGCGACATTCGGATTATTATCAGCATTAGGAAAACGACAAATGTTAATGGAAACCGATCACAACGACGCTTCCAAATTTCCCAATAATTTACGTGTAAATTGTAATATGTCAGTTGTGGCCTGTAAATAGGATACAATATATGATGTACACTGATCTGACATTAAGCGTTAACTTGGAAGTTAAAAGGTCCCTGGACAATCAACCTTTAAAACCATTTCCGTAGACCTAACTCGAAATATATAAAGATTTGCACTGTACTGCTGTCTGTGCTGGTATCATAACTTATCATTTATTTTTTAAGTATATCGAAGAAAACTTATTATATGGTTATTATCATCATTCACAAGAACACATAAAAACATAATTTAGACCGTTAAACAAAAGCGCAAATGATTATCGATTTTAAATGTAAAAACAAAGAATAGGTAAAATATGAAAATAAAAAACCATTCTCGGCCAGTAAGTACTTATAGGATTCGAGTTAGTAGGTAACGTTTTTTCTAATAAGTAGGATTTTAAATCAACGACTAAGTGCGTTTTGGTTAAATGTTTTATACAATTTCAGTGTGGAAATGAAACTTAAAAGAATTATTTAAAAAAAACAACTTTTGTAATTATTAAAAAACAAAGACCACAGTAGACAAATAACGATAATATCACATCGATAAACAATAAAAATTTATGACTAAAATCAAAAAAACTCCCGTGTATAAAACACATTTTTAACAAATTTCTAAGAATTTTTCAAGATGACTGCGGATTTTTTTGTAATATGTATAAATATGTTCCATAAATTACAGTGTAAGATGTTTCTTAATACCTACCTACCAAGTATATGTTAATATTAATTTAACTACAATACTGTGTATTACACATGTCTATTTAATAAAATATAAAGAAGTAGCAAAATCTTTAATAAATGTATTCTTTTGAACACAATTGATAAATGTATATAGAAAACGAAAAAAAAAATGATTTAACTTGATATTAGGTAATATTACCTATGTTTGTGAGTGTAAGTCATTTACTACAAGCAGCAAAAATGAGGTCAGGAAGGTGATGTTCCGTCTTCGATAAAATATTTTGTAATTGGGTTTATAATAATCAATTTAACATAGTATTGTAACAGTTTATAATGATTTATTTGTTAAGGTAATATCTAAATTAGTCAATTATCAAGATTCCCTTAAACGTTTATCTTACATATAAATTAAATCTGTCAAAACATATTAGAAATACTTAAATCATCTATCTTCATTTTTGTAGAACGTTATTTTTATTAGAAAATGTCATAATTTTTGCATAATATAATAAATTGTTCACATATAATATCCAAGGCACACAGAAATTATTTTTTGATTATAGATGTGTTGGCTCTAAAACTATTTAAAAACAGTGTGATCTGAATATCTGATGAAAAAATTAATTACTAATAAAGAATCATTATTGCCGTATTAAAAAAAATTAACATTTAGTTTATCTTCAAAATAAGATTCTATGAATAACTGCATAACAAATTTTTATTATAAGTAAAATTCAATTAAATGTTGAACATACGTTTTCATTTAGTCATAGAACCCAAGTAACAATGACGTGTTTTCTCAGTTATTAGAATGTGAAAATGTAGATACCGATATGTTGTTGAAAACTAAATAATGTTTAGTAGCACTTATTTTTGAAAAATTCAGAAATATTACTTACCCAAAAGAGTAATAAGATATTATGTAAACAATTTTTTTTAATTTTGAATGAGTAATAACATAAAAATAAAATAATTAATTATTTATAACATTGTTTGTTCACGTAACGCTTAACAAAATATTGTACTTATCTAAATTTGCTAATGTATGAAAATATACTTTCAAGATATAAAAGTTGGAAAGGAATATACATAACAATAAAATTAGGTATGGATCTACCTAATTATACATTAATAACACTATATAAACATATTTATAATTTGTTAACAGGTCAACAGAACCATACTGGCAATAAAAAAAAAGCTTAAAATATAATAACAATATTTCCTATAATTTAATTTAAATGCTCTGATTAGAATCATATAACAATTAATTTGATACTTAACAATAATAATAATAATAAAAAGTATAAAATAAGTGACAAAAACGGATATGTATAGTATACAACAAACAATAATAATATGTAAAACATAATAAATAATAATACTTAGAAATTTCTTTGATGATGCATAGATTAACATGATTTTATCACATTTGGGTTTGTTCCATTACGAGAATCGTAAGTGAAATTAATATACTGATCAGTAATTTTATTTTTGTTTTAAATGGTAATTTTGTTCATTTTTTCAAAGGATCAAGACTATCCAAAGAGAAATCTTCGGTACTCATAGCTAGGCCACGACTGAAACCGTCCTGCAAGTGTTCAAGTGTGCAATAATCATAGCGATATATAATACATTTTATTATTAATTTGTATTTTAAGCAACGCTAATTTTACCTTCATTTCTTTGATTCTTTTATCTAATAGACCAATATCGTTTTCAATTCCGTTCTGACCAGTTTGCCCAAAGTCGCCCATGCCGAAAGGATCGCTCGATAGTGTTTTTGATTGTCCAGCAGGCCTAGGAGTCGCTTTGAATGGACTCAAACCGAATATGTCATCAGGATTTTGAGTACGACGACTCGTATCTCTTGCTGGCTTAGGAGGAGGGGCCACTGTTAAAATTAAACACAAATTTAGCAATATGTAACATAAAAGTACTTTGCCCTGATATATTATATTATGTACATACATAAAGGAGGAGAAGTCGGAGAGCCGGCAATATTTGCTCTGGGATCAAAGTCGTTTTCCATTTCATTCAGTAATAATCCTTCGAGTCTTGTACCAACACTAGGTGTAGCTTTTGTTTCGCTTGGAGACTTACCACTAAATAAAAAAAATTGGATGTGTAAAATTGATTATAACATTAATACTATGCAACAAAAGAAGTACTAAAAAATTCCAACCTTAAATAGTCGCCATTATTATTTATGCTCCTCGGAGGTACTGGTGGTACTGCATAAGATTGTGGAGAAATATTACCATTTGTCAATGTAACATTTGTGGACGAGTTGCCATTGCTTATTTCGGTCACTTGTAACATGTCACTGATGCCATTTTGCCGCATATATTGTTCAACATCAATCTGTGAAAAGTGTATAAAAACATCACACACTTTAAATAAAATGTAGTCTGAATGTGTTATAATGTGCTGAAAACTCACAGTAAACTTAAAATATTTTCAAAATGTTGTCAAACATATTTTTTTATATTTTTAAATATATGTAACAATGTTTGGCACGAAATAGTATAAAAGATTGGAAACATTTTCAAAACATTTATACAAAGTTTTTTAAATTATATTTAAAAAATACACAACTTTGTACTAAAAAAATATATTATACATATTTAAAAGTTCTTCAACATTGATAAAATGAAAATAATGCAAATTTACTATTCGATCATTACATTTATAAATATTGATTTTAAACGAAACTAAGTGTTTCCTAACTTTGTATCTATGCGAAAATTAGAGATGAACATTATTCAAATTAATCTAGGTAAAACAATAAATAAAAACTATTTTAAGCTAAATCTCGTTGTTCGTTTTATAACAAAAATTTTTTTTTTAATTCTGTATTTTATCAAATAATTAATTTTTTTATTTACATCTTTATTATTCATTATTTATTTGTTTGAGTGTTAAAATATATTTTTTTAATTTCTATCATTCTGTTAAAATTTTATGCTTAGGATTTCTCGACCTTCAAACCATGGTTTTTTTTTTAAATTATATTTAAAAAAAAACTGTAAGTGAATTTTGTATTTAGAATAAATAAAGCTGTTAAAGATAAATTTTATTTTAAATTAACTTTTACAATGTATCTAAAAATAAGAAAAACGATGAATTTCAAATTTTTTTTTGTTATGTTTAACATTTCTTGGGGAGCTAAAGTCTGATTTCTTATTTTTGTTTTAAAAACTTTATTATAAGTATTTATGTTTTTACATTTTATTGTTTTTTTTTTTTTTAAATAAATCTAATTAATTTTCTTATAGCAAAATTAATAATCCATCTAATGGGTGCACAAGAAAAATACTAGGTAAATTTTTATCAAAATATTGCCTATGCTTTGCCTCTTAACAAATAATCTATTTATTACCGAGTTACAATAAATATTGGCAAATAACAAATTATTTATTATTAAAATAAAACAAATGTATTATAATTATCATTCAATTTAAATTTTACCCAACGCTGGCTAAAAATCTTGTAGAGTAATGTTTCACAAAATGCCATAATTTTTTTAAATTATTATCACTACCATAATAGATGTAAATATTGTAGTTTTTATAAAAGCTATTTCTAAATATAAAATGAAGGTTACCTTTCCACTAAGAGCATCGGAAAGTCGTTGACGTAGTACGCCATTTTCATTTTCTAGTTCTTTTACACGCTGTTGTAATACCATAACTTTACGCTGAACTTCCATGTCTAAGAACCGTCTAATACGGGAAAACAAAAAAAGGAAAACAAATAAATATCACATGGGAGCACTTTTTTTTTGTAATGTAGAATTTCAACAAGATGATAAAAAATATTTGACTTTGCCATTTATAAAAGGCCATCAATAATTGGTAGAAATCAAAATAAAAATGCAATAACAGTTGTATAACCAATTGTATAATAATTGAAATACATGTACAATAAAAGATGTCAACATGCATTTATAAAAAAAAAATATATATATATATATACTGTTATGAACAAAGAAAAAAAGATTTTGTACATATCGTAATAAAAAATTTGAATAATAAATTTAGTGAGAATCCGTATCACATTTCAGCAGCCTTTTTAAACACCCATTAGTCCTTATACGTCGTGGTTCACTTATATCAGTGGTTCTAAATTGTGAACAACCCATGAATTCAGAGTCTGGGCCCAAAGCTATTGTCGGTTCATTAGATTGTGGTTGATTTTGATTCACCCATCGTTCTAATATTGATTCCCCTTGTTCACTTTTGTCCTTGTTTATGTCTCCATAGTCGAGCTTACAATATTCGGCTACACTCTGCAACACTTCCGGTCCATAACTATCCCAATTAAATTCAATCAATGTTTTATCTGGCTGTAAATCGCTTTGAATTTCCATTAAGGGACAGTCAATACCAGTATCACTGAAATAGTCTGACGATTCGTTATCCGAATGCCGTTTATATTCAACTATTTCATACTGTTTTTGTTCAATTATATTATAGTCTAAGGACGCCCATCGATCATCATCGTTCGTGTAACGATCTAATACAATTCGACCACCTCTGCCATATCTGGGCCTACACAAACCTATAGATTTCTGACTTCCATTACTTTGTTGTATGTATACTGGTTGAAAACCAAACGTTGGGTCCAATGGTTCAGGATTATTGATCGGAGCCAGGTAGGAACAAAGTTTGTTTCGTCGAAATGACCACTTGCCTCCACCGTCATCGACATTTTGAACTTTATGAGGAGGTGAATATAATTCTTCATCGGAGCTCAAATGACCCATGTCGTAAGTCTTGTGTTTTCTTTTCCTGTAATGTCTTTTCTCTCTTTTCGAATCTTGATATTTTGTGCCAGCTGAGCTTTTTTTATCCCCTTGTTTCCACATTGACGACATGTAATGGTTGGTAGATAACGGAGTAAATGCATGTCTAACAGCTTTAACCATTTCGACATCTCTGTACAAATGACCATCAAAGTCATGTAAATCGTATCGCTTTTTAAATGTATCAAGTGTCAGTTGTACTAATTGTTTTTTAAATATTTCTCTTTGTTGTATCATAGCGATCAGCTCCACTGCTCTAGCCAAGTTTCTTCGCAGTTTCAACATTTTTTCATACGAGGCTTCATCATTTTTGCGATTCTTTCTAGTTTGAATTTTATCTCTTCTTTTTCTAAAAGCTACATACGAATCGTTGGGCGGTGCTCCCGGTATAGGTTCCGTCCGTACTGCTGGTGATAAAGTGTGTCCCAGACGTACTCTTTTTCTCAACCAATAATCATATATTAATAGTATGGTATCTTCATCGTCCTTAGACAATGCCTTAGCATCAGCCAAGTCGATTATGTTAAAAGTGCTATGCTTTTCCCATTTGTCGACAAGTTCTTCCAGTTTGTCCGGGGTAATGCTATTGGATTTACCAGTGGAATCTAACCATTCTAAATCCTCCGAATCATAATCATATTCAGGTACGTCTTGTTCCATTGTAAATGGTGTTATATGTATTAACTGCTTGGGAGGGTGACAATTAGGGGGATAAGTTTTATCGTGCCACATTAAGTCGTCGGCTACTAATTTGCTAACTTCAGGTGTGGGTATAACACTACCAGCAACCATTGCACGTTGCAAGTGATGTTCAGACTCTTCTTCTTTCTCCATACCACTGGGCATTTGGGGAACGGCACGTTTTAATTCGGCACACTCGTGGAGATCAGGCAAGTCATCGGACATATAGATTGGCAGAGGTTTGGAAACATCCAACTGTCGAGCTCTGAAAGTCGGCTTGTTCGTCGGTTTGCTTGGCCACCTACCACAATAACAATCCGACATTACTATTTTCTTAAAAAAAATAAACTACTAAAGCTTTACAGAGTGATCAATTCTATTCTTGAATTTTTATGACATTGGATAAGATTTTGTCACTATTGATTTCATTTGGTGATAAAATCATTTCAAATGCATTAAATATTCAATCGGCCCTTAGATAAGGTAAACAGGAAACATAACGTTTACTAAAGCATACTCATAAAATAATATTTGTATACGATAATAAAAATATTTGATCACTCTGCATTCTATCTACTTGTAGTATAAATTTCTTTAGAAATTCTACTTATTAAAACTATAAAAGGCACGACTTCAGTAGGCTAGACAGAGTTCGGCATTTGAATGTTTTCAACCGTGCACATAATTAATAATTACACTATTGTTAGTAAAAGAAAAGGCAAGCATAGCTAATTTTTTGTTACCACAGTATATAGCTAACATTAGCTGTTATTGCATTGTCAGTTAACTAATATTTAAACAGCAGTTTTGAATAAACATAAGAGCTACTTCACATTAATTAGACACACTTCATCAAAAAACAAATTCATGGTTACGATTGCGCATAATAATCAGATGGACCCGACATTAGTCATGGATAATTCCCATGGTTCAAACAATATGATCAACAAAAATAGAATACTATCAAACTTAATTAGCTCAACATTTGCTAACAGTGTCCCGGGTAAAAAATGTAGGCGATAAGTAATTAATAAGTACCTTTAAAGAAAGTAATGTAGCCATAGGGTATACACACCATATACCCCTACAACTAGATCACTGTTTATACATCAAAACTAGTCTATGGATAAAATCACACGACAAACTGGTACTCGTCAAAATGAATAGGAAAAAGTCAAGAAAGTAATATTAATTTTTTTTAAGTTGATCAGTAACCTACTTGTACGCTAAATCGAAAGCTTGTCCAATGCTAAGAGTGATTTCTTCAGCCAATTTGTCACTCATGAATACAAAACATGTATGCCTTTCAGATTCGTTCGAGTCCTTAACAATAAAGCTGAAAAACTGTTTGTCCACTTTATCATCAGCACAGTAAGAAATCCTATGCAATGGATATTGATGCATTATGACCTAAAGAGAAACAATAAATGTATTCACGAGCAGGCGTAAATCAACAATTATTGTATTTCTACTTTTGTTTTTGGATCTTGAAGAGCAACACCTTCGACACTTATTGTGAGCTCAACTTTTGGTACTTTTGAACCTTCCGATTTTCGCACTTGTTGATTAAACTTAAGTTTTCTAATAGAATCTTTGATTACATTAAACCCTTTGGGCTGGTCCACATCAACATTTCCCAAAAACTGTAAAGTTGAATGATTATTTAGTTGATAGATAAGAAACAAACAATTATCTGTACGTTACCTTTACAATATAAGCGATGTGGCCTTTTTGTAAAGCTTCGGGTGGATGAATCCAATTTCTATTTTCTAAAAATAATAATAAAGCAATTAAATATATGTTTAGCCATAAGATAAGAAACTGATAAAAATACCTCCGCCTTTTGCAGATTTGTTGCTGGAGTTTTGGGTCCATTTTAAAAGGTTTCCAGTATTCCTCATTTTCATTTGTAGTCAGTGGATTTCTAATAAAATAACATAAATAATTATTATATTTGTTCTATTATTATATTTATACATAAATACAGTATTCGATACAGATATTATAGCTAGGGCTCAACAATTGGTCTTATAATTTAGGTCATAGACTATATTCTAATATAAAAAAAAGTCGCTCGGTTTATTACCCCTAACAATATATTATTCCGAGTTGCACCAATCAGCTAAATGGGTCAGTAGCAGGAAGTCAAGAGTCCATTCTAATTTTATCAATAACATAATAAAAGTTTTAAATTGATATGACCAAAATCTGTTGGCGGAAGAAAATATTTGAACGCATATATTTTTATCGTATCGTTGTTATCAATGATAAGTAAGCTACTTGAATATAATATATTGTTAGCAATATAAGAAATTCATGAGAAATGACCGTCAGCTACACAAATTTACTTATTTTAATACTAACATGAAATTAAGATTAAAATATAAACAATATACATAATTTTATTATAAAAAAATGCATGTACCCAAAACACGTTTATAGTGAACAGAAACTTCAAGTTTAAAACCTTCAGCATAATATGTGAGCAATACCGCTGTTAACGTACATTACAGAAGACAATTTAATAAAATAAATTTAAAAAAAAATAATTAAAAACCTCGTGACCCGTTTTAATTAAATTTTAATATACACACGTATGTAGCTATACGATTAATACGGGTAATACAATAGTTTCTAAAGAGAGTTCCATACGAATTAGTATTTTGGAAAGCCAACGATACAACGGTTACAAAAAAAAAACAAATAATAATAATAATTAATATAATATAATGTTTTATATACGTACTATTTGGTATACAGGTAATTAAGTGTTTGCCAAGGAGGTTCAGCGTTTTTAATAATGTTATTTTACAATAATTTTTTCGCGAATAGTCAAGCGACGGTCACCGTATGCGATTACGGAGCGCAACGCATAATATTTTTATTGTATTGTATTGTATGGTTTTTATTGTTGTGCGACGACGATTACGACGAACGCACACGACAACGGGAACGGGTACGCCATTTTGCTGGTGGGACTGACGGACGGCGGCGGTGAGGTAACGGTCGGGTGGTGGTAAGTGGGGGGAACGTACAGCCCGGCGGCCGGCGGCGCGGCGGCAGGGATCATGGCAAACGAGATGAAAAAACGGGAATTTCAAAACGGCAGGCGTGGTCTTCCTCTCGCCGTGAACGACTACGTGTTGTCACGCTCATGGAAGAAAAACCGACAACCGCCTGACGTTGTACAACATCTTTGGACTATGCATCATCGTTACCGCGCTTATTCGAATTTACGTAACAGGAAATTCGATGACTGGCCAAACGTGTTCTTTTTTTTTTTTGGAAATGCTCTTATATCAACAGAAATGTACAAAATGGTATATAGACATACCTATACCAAACTTATGATTTTACTAAAATAAAATAGTTCACCCACACAATATATAGATTTTTACACTTCTTGTGTAAACAATAACGAAGCGGCCATCTTTTCATTTCGTATACAGTGTGATTCATTGAGGACAAGCACCCATTTTTTTTAAAAATAATTGAAATTTTGTAGTTTTTCTTTTTGGCAGTTACTCTTTAGCTTATATTATTTTTCAGTACTAGATAATATATAAATATTTTTTTTTCCTTTATTTTACATATACAATCTATACAATTTTAGCACAATAAGTATATATGATGACACAGGTAAATTATAGACAGGATAATATTAAAAATTAATTATATAGGTATACATACCTAACCTAACCAGAGCTCTATCATTTCTTAAAACTTTAATGGTAACGTATGTATTAAATTAACTTTTTAAATAAGAATAATTTGTTGAAAATGTTGACTGGTCGAAAACCCGTTTTGGACAGTTACTTTTAATGTTACTGAAGTTTAAAATTTAGAACGGGAGATGGAGTGCGGTAATACGTGTCGATAAAAACAATACAACGCTCCAACTTTTTTTACATAAATAATATAATATCTTCTTCATAAACACAAATCAGCGAATACAATTATTTTTACACCAAAACGACGTGTTATTTTACGAGATTTTGTGTTTTTTGAATGGGCGGCTTCGTTTGTCGCTGTTAGCTTTTTGTAACAACTCATTAATCATCATTTTTTCTAAATAAAATTACATTTTAGGTAAATTTGTCGATATTTTATTTATAAATATTAGTTATTGAATGAATGAATTAAGAAACCATACCGAGTCAATGCCAGTCTCGCATGTTATCATTTGAGGATATCCAATATTAGTTAACGTTTTCATAAGGATCGAGCAAACGAAAACATTGAGTTATTAAATGTTTCCGTTTGCTAACGTTTCAAACGTTTACTACTATAACATATTTTCACTAATTTCCACTGTATCATAAAGCATTTCATACTATCATACTGTAAAACAAACATTAACGTAGCGTCAACGCACAACAATCACCACATGGCACATAAATCATAATATACGAGTATTATATCATCCTACCAGCTACATCAATATTTGTACAACACTCTCTACAAACACGCGTAAAAATACATATTATACGTTTGTAAAAATTATGATATAACAATAATCAGCAGAAGTCGTATCTATAAACTATCCAATAATAAAATGACACCACTAAAAAAATGTTTAATTTTAGGCTTTATGTACTTATAAATGGTTGTTTATCGTTATTATTTCAACAACGGTACATTAGACATCAATAATTAGCAATCAAACGCTTTATAATCACGACAAATAAAAATAGATAAAATATATAGTAACGGCGAATCGTGTTTTGATTTGAAATTCTAATGGGTAATGGTTTTACATGATTCTCTCATTTAGGTACCTATATTTTGTAAATTCTGCTGATATGTATTTATAGGCACATCATTTTACAACTTTATCTTGATAAAAATACTTCTTTAATGAGTTCTTGTAATGATTTTAGTTATAATATCAGTCATCAAATGTGAAATAATTACATGAGATATATTTAGATATTTAATTATCTGAGATATAAGTATTATATTTAGTACTTTATGGGTAAAAAAATAATGAGTCGAGTCTAAATTGTAAACCTTTGTCTTTTGGTTACTGGTGTCTGCACTGTCTGGTGATATCAAAAGTAATAATGTGAAATTGTTACGGATACATCTTAATTTTCTTAAACCGCCTATACTAAGGACCCTGACAAAGTTAAATTAAGATAATATTCTTAAACACAACCAAAATAGAATCAGAAAAATATTTGTTTTTGTTACTTTTTTCACTCAAGGTAATACGTAATACACTATTACGTACATAAAAATGTGTATTAAAGTATCAGTAGATGTTTTAACCTGGTTAATTTTACAATAATTACTATTGTTACTCTAGTGAGGTTTATTTTGGTGAGTTATCAATTAAACTTATCAGTTTAGTTTACTCAACTTTAAGTTTTACTCGCTACTCAATACTTATTTTTCACTCACAGTATCGGAAACAAATGACATTTTAATATTAATAACATTTTAATTGCTAAGTAGCATTAGAAAATACCAAAGTAGTAATATCCAAATGCGTTAATAATTCAAGTTACTAAACTGACTTTAAACCGAAAATCATTAAGTTAGGGAATTTAAACCAAAATCGATTCTTTATTAGAGAAATATAATGCAAATGGTTCTTAGTGTAACGAAGAACCCAAAAGAAAGGTTTACGTCGCTATTAAAAATCACTTTAAGTAATTACCTAAACAGCAACCTCTTAATTTTTAGAAGTCATTTTTTAAAAATGTATGTAAAGACGGTATTTTAATTGCGTTCTGCGTCTAAATAAATACTATTTTGATTAATTTATAATATTTTTAAGTTATTTTTAACGGTAGAGTGTGGGAGTGCGGTATTATGATCCACCAGAATACAATTTTTTAATAGTCTGTGTAAGATTCATGAATTTCATAGTGAAAAATATTCTCATACCTTCGACAAACATCTTGTTCATACTATTTTGGACTGAAGTATAGCATGAATAGACTAGGTACATAGAATGTATTGGTTATTACTATAATAATATAATGGCATAGTCTGCGTGTAGACTTTGAATGTTAGCCAACAAAGTCGATATTGGCATTATTCGGGTAGCTCAGTTTTCTGACTTTCGATAATGCCATAATCTCACACGGGATTTGTCTGGCACACATGCGAATGGATCTGAAATAGAATTTACGGATAAAGGTAGAAGCTTTGAAAATATATATTGGGTATTTTTGTACTATATGAGCAACCGTATCCGTCTAATGCGATACTTGATACCATGACATACATTAAGATAAAATAAATAAATGAATGGAAATCGTGTAGTTGTACATATGATGTCATCCTTATATTATTATAATTGTTATTTATCAATGTTTTAAATACCCGAAGGCTAAACAGCAGTGTATACTCTTTTGAGTTGTGATATTAGTTATCTGTACACAATAATCACGTTTAAGTAAACATTAATGCGAGCTTCAACGTTTTTTGAAATAACATTATTCTTAATTACTATAAAGTGACCACTTCAATAATGACAGGTAATCGGTCAGTTCTATGACCTATCATAAAAATATTTAACACTCATTTGTTATCAAAATGTTGTCTACATCAATTACTGAGAGACCTTCTAATATGTGATATAATTTTATCATTACGCTTGATAAATTAATACGTGGAATACAAAATATATCATTAGGTATTTTATATTATGCTTTTAATGTGGCGTATCTATATATTTTGCCGCTGAGAAACAAATATAATTGCCATGGATGGTAGTAATAAACAGAAACTAAATATTGCAAAAGTACGGTTGCTCTTGAATTTTATCGGGTATACATTGTTAAAAATGTAGGTACAATATACTAATACTATAGTAAAAATCGTCAAATAACATAATATAAACTTTTGTCGGTACCTATTCTGCGTGTCCAATCCAACCATGAAGAACTAAACAATATAATGTAGGTAATATACATAATATATTATGACCTCTAAAACTTTTAACATGCCGGAACAAATCTAGTTGACCGGACATCTTTTTTTTTAATTTCTTTCTTTTTAGATTGAAAATGAATGCGCAACGAGATTTTGACGGTCGGTCGTAGTTTTTCACTTATAATAGAAAATACAAATTATTAAAATATCAAGAACACAATCGTACATATTTTTTTAAATAATGCGTTTTTACCCTAACGTCGAAAAACAAATTAAAAAAAACTAAACGGTTTAAAAAAAAAATTGTCCTTGTTTAAAAGATCAAAAGTGAAAATGTCTTATTGGGCACGAAGCTGAGGTTCAAGTTTTATAATAATGTGTTTTAGTTTTGTTTGTTCGTATACAAAATACTAATTTTGTAAGACAATAGCTGTATTTTTTTAATAGCTGAAATATTTCGTGATAATGAATACCTATTTGATTTTGTGCAACATTTTGAACTATAACCATAAACAAATGCATAGTGCTGTGTTTCTACAACACGTTTTAAACTAGTCTTTCTTTTGTCAAACATAAAAAAAAACACAATAGAGCGATGTACAGGTATTGTCACTAGTTATTTAAGTATACAATGTATAATGCATATAATGCATGTACATTTGCTCGAGTGTAGGATTCTTTTAAAAGATCACCTGTTAAATGTTTAGTTGAGATTTGGTTTTTTTTTATCTAATACTTAATTTTTTTTAGCAAACAAAAAACTACTCTTTTTCTAAAAACTATTAATCAATAAACAAAATGTTCAAAATTACATCTTCCACATTGACATATTAATAAGCAGTAGTACGAGATTTAAGCAATAAATATCAAGGAAAAATAATTTTTCGTTTTTTTTATCATGGTTATGTTATATATACATATATTCTTATTATTTAGTGAAACTCAAATGTTCGATATAGGAAAAAAATACTAACAATTATTCTAGCACCACACCTTACTTGTATATTATGACTTATAGAGTTTTTTTCTTTCTAAAGGGGCTAAAGGTATAAAATACTCAATCGTGTTGTAATAAAGTCAAAAGTAATACATTTTAACACAGATTCTGAATAAAATATACAAATATGGAAACACAAAACATGTTTTAAAATAAATTATACAAACATATTAATTTATAAGTTAAAAAAAAACCTTGAATTGGTTAGTCAATAAGACCACGAGGAACAAAACATAATGAGACATTTTCGATTTACCATAATATAATACAGCTCATGCTGTAGTCAAAATCAAGTTACGTACAAGTTTAGTCTAAGACGCTGAAAAAGCGTCGACAAATTAAATCAGATGTTGGCGCTTTTCATCGGTCTTGTATTTAATACATTTTTTATAGACGGTTCATCGGAAATTATCAATTCCGTAAAAGGCCGTAATTTCCGTTATTTTCTTTTTCAACATTTTGATATATTTTTTTTACAAGATGTGATTATTTTTTACTGTCAGCTGTATTTTAGAGTAGATAAAAGTCACTTAATCTATGGCAAGCCATTATAATGTTTCACTTGGACAATGGAGTAAACACTTCGTAATCGGCAACGGTGAAATTGTAATCGCCCATTAAAGAGTTGCAAGAAGCGTTCTCGCCATCGTAGGAATGCGGTAAATTGCTGTAGCTGTCCATGTTGACGTTGCAGTTGTTGGATATGAGTAGATCGGCACCGGCTCCGAATATAGGACCGATCCTGCCGGTAAAAAAAAATAGACGAACCTTTAGTAGTATTAAACACAGCACTACAGTGAAAATGCACAAAAACAGTGTTATCCGGTCGAGGTATTAAAAGCAGCATAATATAAGGGTACATATATTTAAAATGTTTGCCCGACTTACTCTTGGTGGTAGCATATGGCGTAAGGTTTTTTAACAATATCGTATTTTATCGGCGGGGTATCTTGAGTGGTGCTGAGAGAAAACAGGAAGCTCTTGTCGGACACCATGTAAGCACCCTTAGTGTGACTCTTTCCCCATGGAACGTCGCTGAATCCTCCGCTCAGCCAGCCGTTCACACCCTATACACACACACACATACATATACATGTATATTTATATATATATAAGCACAAAAAGCAAACAAAAATCCATTAATAAACGCGAAAAACGCTTCAAATGCATGAGCTTTTTCGATAGTTGACGCTGACATGTATAGTATATATAAGGCATAAGTATTAGCGCGTAAAATGTTTCCTGACTAGTCGTTAAAATATATGCTTTTCAGACGACACACTTAAAAATCGCAGTGCTGTTAATGGCCGTCGTACACGTGTTTTTTATGATGGTAAATGGGATTGAGAACATGTCAAGACGATGTCTTGTTGGTTTTATTTTTCATTTTTATTTCAAAGTATATTGACTGTATATCGACAGTACAAATTAGTTTTATGGTTAATATAAAACTTTAATGGAAAAATAAATATGGTCGGATATACCTAACTTTATAATAATTAACAATATAAAACAATACAAATGGGAGTGAAAGAAATTCAAATAGTACCAACGCGAAAACATTTTCCATAAAACAAAAAAAGGGGGTGTCAGATTGAAAGGTTATGATAATATTATATGCTTGTACAATTAATGTGTATACCGTTTAATGTAATTTAAATTAAACGCAGCTTTTCAAAAGTAGTGCGCTAAAATAATAAAATTTATGTCTAATCTTACTAATACTAAGACGTATGTGGGCGAAATGCCGTCACAGTGTTTGTGAAAAGCATCAGCAGAGAACCCATCGGTGGAAGCTCTATAAACCAATCGCCAACATTGTTTTACACTGCCGTACCATTGATTCAGCACGCGTTGTAAGTGAGTTTTATCCTGAAAAATGTGTACTTGTAAATAAGTAATTTATTAAAATCGGTCAAATTATCACTAAGACTTGGATGTGCGATAATTACTTGACTCAAAATATGTGAGCCGGAGAAAAACTTAAGCATAACCCGAGGTTGAAGGCGTTGGTCTTCCGACATCTCTTTGAACTTGTTGGGGAGTGCTGCAAAGCGATAACGCTCCAATGACATTTCTATTGGCACAGCTCCCGTGGGCTCTACTTCTTCGGCAAATACCTGAGAGTCTGAAAAACGTTATAGACACCAATATAAATTATAAATGACAATTTAAAAAAATAATTGACAAAGTTTTTATGTAAAATTTTTAGAGAAGGGTAAACTTAATAACTGCGTTGTCGAGTTTGATAATTAGTATGATAAAGTTATAAAAAAAAAAATTAGGAAGTTATAATTAAAATATATTTTAATAATTTGGAATTTTGTAATGAAAATACCGTTTAGGTATATAAAAAAACGCATAAGAGGTCTCACCTATCAACAATAGCCTGACGTGATTAATGACTCCAGACAAATGCTGGCACACCCTTGCTCGTTCTTCCTCGGTCCAATGTGCGGTTCGCTGCACCACGCCCGCATGGAACTTGGCCCAGTTCACCACGGCTCTCCATACGTCCTCTTCTTCCAGAGCCAACTAAATCCCAAATTAATATTGTTATTCGTATATTCAACCACAATTTGTTTTAATTTAACAAAAGTGTCACATGACATATGCATACAGGACCCATTTAAAATTATAGGCGATGATATTTTCTAAAAATAATTTATTTTAAGTAAAAACTTTGTTGTATAAGTATTATTTTAAAACTTTGGCTCGACTTAAAATATTAGGTATTGTTAAAATATAATAATTTCTTATTAAAATACTCATAAACCATAATAGTCCAAAACTCTTAATAGGCCAACAAACGTTTAACTATTCGATTAATCATTTTCAGTATTTATATAATATTATACGCACGCAGTCCGAGGATAACAGTTTTATTATGGAGTCCTTTGGTAGATTTAAAAATGCGTTGGTTTTAACGCATTTGGCAGCGTTTTCGCCGATGAACGACACGCAGCGATCGACAAATGATTTAGCACCTTTGCCACCTGAAAAATTTAGCATCGTATATATTATTAAGTTAATTAACGCCAGCCTAAAAAGAAATTTTAGATTTAAAATTAGAGGTTTTAGACGGAGCGGTAGAAAACTTGTTATGCTTATTGCTTGGAGAACAAGTGGTAAATAGAGTAGAGTAATTTAACATTTTGGAACAGTTATACAAGAAAATGAAGATTCAAAGAAAAGGGGGTAACGGGTGAATAGAATATTCGAAAGAATGAGGTGGGATGAGGCTAAAAGGATGCTGTGGAACAGAAAGCTGACATTTAAAGTTGTATAAAATATCTCTATGGAGGTTAACTATGTTGTATGAAAATATATATTGGAAATCCAATAAAAGAGAAGACAGGGAAATGGAAGTAGAATAACGACACAGAAAAAATATTCGAGACAAAATACAAATTTTAGAAAATCAAACTCAGAAGTATGATACTGGTATTATATCTAGATTTCAATACATACAAATATCACACAACAAATATAAGCCACGAAGAATTTTAATTAATATGAATACACCTAAATAACTTGTGTACCATATTATACAATTCCATTTTTTAAATTATTTTTAAGTTTTATAGTACCTATTTTACAACATTTTAAAATAGCTATGACCATTTTGAAAATAAACCAAAATAATATTGAAATAATATAATTGGACCTAAGTTCTAAGGAAATGGTGATAGACAGTCTTGGGGAGTTACAAGATTTGGCTGGATATCCTCATTGGTATAGAATAAACTTGAAGAATATTCAATAACATCTAATTGCTAATACATCATATATATTTGTGAAATAAACAGTGTTTACTAGAAGCTCTGTCTTGTATATCCATTGCCGCAGCCAAAAACGTGCAAGCATTTAAAACTGACATAGTCGAAGATACATGCTCCTCGCAGCTGTTTTGTAGATCTTCCACGCCTAATTCTTGCGCTAGAGTTAACATTTCAAAGACTCCGTTGTCTTGAAGAACTATCTATAAAACAAAATCATAGTATTAATATTTTCTTATCAAAAGATTAACATTGATCTCAAAATACTCATTTAATGAACTGTTTTTTAAAAGAAAACATAAAATAAACTTATACACATTACATGTATTCGTGTGTTTTCATTCGAACTTGAGTTTAAATTAATTATATTATTATTTATTATACTACATTATTATTTAAGATTCATTAGATTAATAAAAAAACATTAAGTACATAATATTTTAAATACTATTAATTAATTAACAATACTATTATTGGGTGTTAATTACACATGTGACATGTCTAAATATTCAGAATTTTAAGTTATAGCTCTTTCAGACTTTATTCATGGTGGTTGTTTACTTTGTTAAATAATAATAATAAATAATCTTTTATAATAAGTGTTAGTGTAGGTACATGGTTTTTATAGACACAGTACAATTTTAGCAAATGGTGTTACTTTTTAATTTGAAGAATAAAAGATTGTAGTCATCTGTTATATTCTAATCCACGCATTTTTAATATATACCTAACATAAAAAATATTATGCATTATTTATATATTATGCATGAAATAAGGCTGAACTCGCTACAGCGACGTATCGCGATAGCATATAAATCATTTTAGTAGGGAAATAATAATTACGAGGGCTAAAGCATGCTTTTTGGAATGTAACGGCTCTACTAACGTACACATATAATAAATTAAACAGAAATTATCATTTTAACGAAAGTATAATTTATTATACCACAGGAATGGATCAATGTACTGTTTTCACCTTGCATCGCTAACAAATGAAATATAACCAACAATTATTATTGCATATTTTTTAACAAGTAAATTAGGTTAGCCGTTACGATACTACACATATTATGTACATAATTGTATTTTCGTTAATGGATTCAGACCATCTGTACAGATTTTAGACGAATTCTGTCCAGTTGTAAGACAAATGTAACTTCACTAAATTTCATAGCATTGTTAATAGTTTATAAAACAACCTTTATTTTACTTTAACTTAGATTTCATGATTAGCAATTTGTTTTAAAATTGACCTGTTTCTTTATTAGCAATGACTGTATTACATTACATTTTTTCAACTATTATTATTAATACAAATTCAAATTCGAGTTTAGAGAGACAATATCGCGTGTTGAAAATGGTCTTTTACTATTGCAAAACATGGATTTTTAACGGATTTCAAGTAAATAGCTAAAATTTCTTAGGAACTATTCGAGTTAAAAAAACTAAACTAAAATACAAAATATGCTAGATATTTCAAAAAAAATTGAATGTGGATAATAAAATATATTATAGTAGTTTACATTTACGTTATTAAGACTTGCACTAACTTACTATAATAGCAAGTAATAAGATCAGTTTTAAGAATAGGGTTTTAGTTAACGTACCTTGCCTGTATATACATAATTGATAAATTGTTTGAACGTATCACCTTGGAACTGTGGTAGTCGGACGGGGGTGGGTGTACCCGGCGCCGATGGGGATACAGAACAACCGGGGATTCGGCATATTTCACCACGCTTAACTGATTGGAAGCTTTTGCATCTGAAAATGTATTAATATTGTTATCACAATGTTTAATGACATTTTTAACTGATACTATACCTGTATTATGGTGTAGTAATAGCATATATAGGATAATTTAAAAATAACATTTAGGCGGATACATTTAAAACAGGCCCGTTATTATTACCAACCATAAAATCATATAGGTATTTTATTATTTAATACGAATTTATTTATTAAATACATTTATATTATTTCATTTACAGTATAAAACTAGTTATAATAGTTATTGATTTATTTTTGTCATGGGCTTTGTTGTTTTTAACAATATCTTCGGACGTTGCGAATACAACTACTGTGGACACATTCTCATCGGGTCGCAGAAGCGTAAAAATGAATCTTGCCAGCAACTAAGGTGTAGGTGTACATGTTACACATAAGAGTTAAAATAATCGGAGCTTAAAAACCCGAGTGCATAGTATACGAGTAAATGGATAGCTTTTTACATTGTGTTTCGTTAAAAGCAATATTTCACTGGGTTATGCCTTGTACACGTACTCACGCGCCGGCACACTGTGTAGTGTGTACGGTCACAAATAAGTGGAAAGGCACGGTAGGGTTGGCCATTCATCATTTAAAACCATTCGTAGTACACGACCGTAATCCAAACAGCGGTGGAGGTGGAGTACGACACCCTGGCCTGGAGCCCACGACCCGACACTTGGGTCCAACGTCCCGATTTCTCCAACCCGTTCCTCCTTTTCCCTCGTCACCATTAAGAATTATTATCTCGGTTAAATTTATGGCGTCCCCTCACATTTCAGAGGAAGGGAGATTTCTTTATTAAAATTTACAATGACGTGGTAAAAAAAAAACGGTTTAATATTATGTATTTTTGTTATAAATATATGTATATATATATATGTTTGAACACCCATCTAAACGGCGTTATCGTGACCCGAGGTAAAAAAATATAGGTCCCTAATTATAGCATACATAATACTGCAGTAGTTGTATAACATATGCAAACAAAAACATTTTAATGGTTGTCTATATACGTATACTATTCTATATTTTTTTGTATTTCGATTTAAGTAGCAGGTCCAAAGGGTTTTATGCGCGCGCGACAGAGAGAACAAAAAGATCCTTATTACTTATTCCTTTGACTTTGAAGGCTCCAAGTCATTATCATTGAAAAGAGGTATTAAAAAACTTGGGATTTTTTCAAGAGACTCACGGGGTTACACATATAATGTGTGTATAAATAATATCTTTGGGGTGGCGGCAAGGGCGAGGGGTTGGCGTGAGTAGCTTCTGTTCGTACAGCCCTTTGTGGGACAAACTCTTTGATCTTATTCAAAGGTGACAGCTATATAGCTACTACTGCAGTTTTCCGGCCGTGTCAATACCCTAACAACGCAAATATTTCGAAAATAATCAGGCCGGGTTCAATTAGCCGGCGGTCTTGAAATTGCTACCAACAACGTTAATCATTAAAATACGACAAAAAATTACATGAAACGATATACACCCTTTTGTACTACCGTTAAGTGCGCTTTGTTGACACGAATATTGCTAGATGCTTTGAGTGTACATATTGTACTGCTACTTCTTTACTTTTTTTCATAATTCTAATTTATACATTTTTTCATACTCTTATGATAAAAGCATCCGCTCTATAAAAAGAGTCTTCGTGAAATTTGTATATACTCGTAAGTAGGACAGCGAGAATGTCATTGTTTCTATTTTTGTAATATTCATAAACTACTAATTTTAAATAAAAAATATATTTTTTTAAAAATAAGTTACAACGACTAATTATATAGTTTCATTAAATACTGGCAACTTATGAGTTAAAAAAATATTATGTATACTATACTGATTGTAACTCAAATAAAAACTGGTGTTAAACATTTTAAACATATTCCTACCTATCTAAATTTACTTCCTAAAATTAAGTTTATGAATAGTACAAGGAAATCCGGCTAGGGTAGGTTAACATTCCGTGTTAATATAAATCATAAATTCGACTTGCTATTTAAATAACCATATACGTAATAGAATCAAATAGATGCTATATTTTTAACATTGGCAACTGATAACTGCCAAACATTGTGTTATTTGAGAACTTTACCTAATTATAATTAAGTACTTCTCGAACGCATCTACTTAAAATTTATTTTAAACATTATTATAAAACTATCGTAGAATTTAAAAACTACAAAATTCGGAATTTATAACACATTTTCTTTACTTTCAACTCAACGAACGGAATCGAAGTCGCTTGCAATTTATTAGACGGTAGTTTCAATTAGAGTTGAGTTGATTTACATCTACGGGTTTGTTCAAATAGATGAATTTATTTAAAAGTAATCCAAGTCAATTCTTCGTCGCGTAGATTGTAGGAAACATCACTATAGTTTATCGTTATTTTTCAGTTGTAGGTACAGGATAATTTATTTGAATCAAATCGTTTTTTCATCGAGACTCGGGTTTCTGTTGAGGGTTATAGTACAATCGGCGTAGCTTTATACACAGCGACAGAGACTAAATGACAAGACTGTTCCCTCTTATTGCTGCAGATTTATCATTGTCGGAATAAACGCGCTGCAACTCCAAAAGCGAAGCAGAAACAAGTTTGTCTCGTCCACATTATTTTCTTTCCGAAAATATATACTATGCTTTTTACCACCTTGGCTCTCACTCTCTTTCTTTGTTGTGGAAGTTTAAGGGTTAAAAATGTTTTATTGTTTGTAACACATAAATATATATATATATATATATATATATATATATCCTCTCTGGCCTCGCAAAATTACCCGTTTCGCTGTTTAACAAATTAGGGTATACGATAAAGTTACACGAACACATAACATACGAATGTAGAAAATATATTTTACCGTATACCTACGCATTACACACAAAAGCATAAAGAGTAATATATTTTGTTAACAACAATAGAATACGAATGCAATCGGAAAAGCTTGGGTTAAAATTTAAAAAAAAAAACACTGTCTTTCTATTCTAACGATTTTGTATTATGTATTTGATTTATGTAACAAATAAGTAATAATTAGTATAAATAGTGTTAATGTAATATTTATAGTTTACAATTTTTAGATATGCAATTTAAAAAGTAGTTAAACAATATGAAGTTAATGGTAAAAATCTATAATTATTTTGACAAATAACAATGCACCAAGTTGACCCGAGCGTATTTATCAGCAGACTTTAATGTAACTTTCACATACACCGATCAATAACTGTGAGGAAAATCGAAAAACTTTTTTAATTGACTCAGAGACTCGCGTAACACTAATTTCTACAAACTTGTCAATCGCGTTTCTTATGAAAAATACCACAAGTGCAGTCGCCTCTATGATTACTTTTTCTTTCAACAAACCGCAAAAGTAATGCATTCATATGAAATCGAATACTTTATTAATTCCATTGAAATTATATGTTAGTCGATACTAATTGTTCAAACCCGTGAGATGTAAATGCGCACGTTAGTTTTTAACGGGTTGACAATTAATAACTACGTCAGAAGCGTCAAACTCGTTTTAAGCTATTAAACTATAACATATAAGCCCACCACCAACCGTTTGGGGAACCAAAGTCCCTATTTATAGGTACCCAAAAAAACATTAACAAACAATACAGTCTCAATTATATATGTTCTGGCCAAAACGTTTGCATGACGACGACGACTCGTTATATTATACGTTTAATGTAGACGCGTTACTTTCGTGACGCTATTTTATGTCGTTTTCGAGCTGGTGGGCCAAGGCTAAAGCATGTTCCATGCTTGATGCTATAATATACATCTGGTCCTTATTATGCATCAAAATTTGAAAGTAGTGCTATTGTAGCTTACCTTATGTAATCTAAGTATACTGCTAGTGTTTGTGCTAGAAACCCTACCTTATTTTACGTTTATATTTGATTTTAATTGTTCACATAGCATTGTATTTCGATTGATCTATAAAGTTCAAAGTAATAAATGATCAATATTGAATATGCCATTATTATATTATAGATGTATACTCGTTTCAATGATAATTCACGACCGTGTCAAAGGTGCTGTATTAATGCGCTTGAACTTATTTGTAGTTGTATACACAACGATGTTTGTTATTTGTTTTATCAGTAGTTATTAGAAAAAGCAAGGAAATTGAATGCGATAAACTAACAGTAAAAATAAAATAAATCCCAAGTGAATTCGCATTCGCGCTTTCAAGTCACTCAATCTGAAGGAAATTATAAATTTCGCACCAAGTGTAAATATTGAATCAGATCGTTCACGTGGAAAATGTTTTTCTCTCGAGTGCTGCTGTCGGTGATTTCCACACACAAGAAAAGCGTTTTTCATTGTATTTACTTTTCGGTGCTACCGCCGCACCGTCAATGTGTATTTGTCAACCCCCTTAAAGATTGACGAGGCCAAATGGGTTTCTGTCGTAGACAATTTTTCCATTTCGCCATCTAAACACGCGGAAATGAGAATCGCTCTCAAACGGAAATCGGGTTTCCGTAAAAAAAATGTATATATATACATACATATAATATACACATAGCAATATATACATATATTGCTACTATACCTAACTGTAGTATAGTACATACGTATCTACATACATAAAGATTTTATACATTGGTTTTTTACCGGTAATGCGGACGTGATGGAAAACTGAAGTAATGACAGTATTTTACAGTTTTCCTTTTTGACACTAGCAAAATGCACCTCAACGAGGTAAACACCTAAAGAAATTTAAGCTCGAATATTTTCAGCGTATATTATTATACCATAATATAATATATTATAATAATATTTATGAATGTCTAATATATTTGTGTTGCGTGCGCCTATTTGAGAAGTTATTTTTGATCACCAATTTCTATTGTAGCTTTTACTGATTTCACTGAAATGGAAGTAATTTTTGTTTAAACAAAAATAAAAGATGAGTTATAATTTAAACAAATTACCAAATAATTAAAAAACTATGTTTTAAAGCGTATAGCGGATGCAATAAAACGTATAAAAGTGGTGTTTTCGTTCTTGTAAGGTTTAATTATTGAATGTTTCAAGTTTTTAAGCATATGTGATAATTTTTAAAATATTTTATATTCGGCTTTGAAGTTTAAGAGTTTAACGGTGACGTACATACGTTGTAACAAGCCTTCGTTTCTGAGTGTTGAGTTTGTGTCTCTGTATTTTCAATTAAACTTTTCGAGAGCTTTTCACAAAGTATATTATAATGTATGTTACAAGCTGTTACATTAATTTAAAAAAAAAAAACGACACATAAAAACATATTTATTCTTCAAAATTTAACAAATTTGTATAACATTAGAAATAAATTCATATTGTTTAAAAATGTGTTTAAATACAAAATACACAAAAAAAAGCAGTTCTTGATTTTCGAAACTACGAAATAGTTATCCAGGATGATTTACATAAATAATTTAATTAATCAGTGAAGCCCAAGTTAAGCACTTATGTCTTATACGTTAGGTTTCTAAATTAAAAGAAAAAAATGTTCTCTTTTTATTATCAAACACTATACTAATGATGTCTAACAAGCCTTTGTTTAACGAAATGCAGTAAATTGTATCCGACGAACGGTTACCCCTTTAACCAATTGCCTTTATAGAGTTGATTGGAACACTTGTAGAAAAAAACAAATAAAACAACCGATGAAATATGAACACTGTATATTAATGCATTCTCGGATACATATATAAATATATATACAGGGTGACCACGAAAATACTTTACATTTTCAAAATGGCAAAATAATATTAATTTTTCAAAAACAATTTTTTTTTAACCTATGTAACATGTTTGTGGTTGTATGCCATTTGTTTTACGGCAATTTTCGAAAAAAAAAATTATTTAACTTGATATTATGTTTGTGGGTGTACATAAGTTAAAACATTTTTTTTGTTGAAAAATTAATATTATTTGGCCTTTTTGAAAATGTAAAGTGTTTTCGTGAACACCCTGTATAATATGTAGCAATAACAAACGTCTACATTTTTTTTTGACGAATCTATTCACGTACAAACGTTATAGGGTTTATAAGCAAATAAGTGGGGATGAAAATATGCGTTTTTGTGTATAAGACGATTTCAAATGAAATATTTGACAAAATAATTGTGCACGTGTATTTTATTAGTTTCATTTCGACGTGATTTGAGAAACAAAATAGCAAAATATATTTGGGAAGGAAACAAAAAGAAATAGCTGTGTAAACTGTAATAAAATACTTTGAATCATATTTTTATTTGAATATTATTTAAATGTATTTCGAAATGAACTCTAAAAATATTGTTGTTTTTTTTTGTAATCTTTAACAAATATATAATAATAATTTGAGTCTTATAAAAAAATAAAGTCTGACGTGTAATTAATTACTATTTAAATCACCTACAGAATAATGTATAATACAAATATGATTTTTTTTTAAACTTACATGTTTACGCTTGTTGGAATTTTTAAGACTAGAACAAATAAACGAATGGGTCTGTTGTTCACACAACTACTTCCACGCTTATTGGATTAAACTATGGGTATATGAATTATATTTTATCGATAAAACCTCACAATGGACAAGAATAATTTTTTAGAAAGTATGCCTGCTATATTGGTCTTAAAAGCAAGTCGATGGATTTTTCGGTACATATTATATTATGCTCAACTACTGGATACCGATATTCCATTTTACTATAACGTACTGATAAATGGAATAAACTATATTTTCGGTTATTGCCGTAATAATAATAATAATAATAAAATACCGCAGTTATAAGACATAAACATAGTATTGATGGTAATAATGTCATAATGGTATTATAAGTTTAAACACTAGTAGCAAAAATAAACGTATTCAGCTAACCTGTTTTCTTATTAAATCAATTTAGTGTAAATAAAATATATTGTATATAAATTATTTTAGCAATAAATAAAATATGGTATTATTTCTACGATTTCGAAGTCATTTCAAACAGTATATTATTTTGAAAATATAATACATTTTTTACAGTTCTAAAAATATTATGTTCATTAATAGGGTTTGGTTTCTGTAAAAAATATTTAACTTAATGGGATACTAATAAAGTGAATAAAATATTCAACAAACCTAGTCATTAAAATGATCCGATGCGCGTAGACAGGAACTTCTTCACGACCTATTAGGAACACTATGTCAGCCGATTCGTGATTGTCGGCCAATTTTTGTAGATCTTCAAGTAACTGTGGTACTCCGACAAAAGTTTTATCCGAAAAATGCGCAGCCGCCACTCTAGTGCCCATTTTAGTAAAAAATTATTCTAAAGGCGTTCGGTTTATTTTGAGATCACCGGTAATACATACTAAAAGAACAGAAATAATCATTTAAATTAATTTTAATCGATGTTTTACTAGAGTAATTCTACTTATGTCAATTTCTCTATTATATATATATATATATATATATATATATATATATATAATATATAGATATATAGATATATCCCAAATGATATAATAAACAAAATATTTGAAGGCGTGAAATAAATAAGCAATAGCTATTTAAAAATATTATTTCTACATTCGCTTTACGAAATTTGTTTCAATCTACACTACATTTTAACAAATAAAACCATTAATAGTTATATTTTGATTGAAATAGATCGCCCCAAACACAAATGGTGTCTGTTAAAGAATGTAACAATGTTATTATCTCCAAAAATGATAAGAGCTTAACCATTTTGACAATTCCCCTACAAAACTAAATTGAGTAACAAAGTTTGTAAGCTATTCGCCAAGACAATAAACAATAAACTGAATATTTAAGTATTGTGAACACTTTAAAAAGTTTTGCAATTTGTATAGTTATATCATTATCGTAGTAACTATTGTGTGAATAATTACAACAATTTTTTCAAAACCAATTTAAGATGTGAATATTATTAAAACAAAAGTTATAATTAAATATTAATTATTAATGATGACGACTTTACTTGAACATAATTTAATAAGCCCCAATTTTATCCGACTAAAAAAAAACGAGTTCAATTTTTTTCTAATAATTTGTTTTATGTTTTTTAGTTTGGGTCAAATTTGTATCAATAGGTAAGAATAATATTAAGGAGATTGAACTGGGAGGTTTTAAAGAGTTATATAAAGGAAATATATATATTTTTAAAAGTGGGTTTAATAAATGTTGACCATGTTAATTTATTTTCAGGTTATTTTGTTAAAGCTTCATGGTATTATTGTTAATGTGTGACAAAATTGTTAGACTTTGGCTCGTCTAATTTTAATTCTGTAAAAAGAAAAGGATTTATTGGCCTCTTTATTAAGTTATGTTTAAAACCGAAATTCATTTAAAAATTCAGTTTATTGTAATTCAATTAATTTATTTTAAAAACATTTCAATATCAAAACGCAATTTGTTTAAATAATAAAAAAAATATTAAAAATCCATTTCTAACACAACCTAGTCAAGAAGCCAAAGAATTTGTATATCTTTACAGAATTAAAATCAGATCATCCTATGTAGTCAAAACTTTGTCAGGCTTTTGTCTAAAACGTCAACAGACCGCTTTCAATCCGGTTAATATTGATTTGTATGTTAGATAGGTAAATAGGGTATGCAGCTCTAACTAATTTTTTCTGTTTGAAAAACACCATTTGCACAAAAATTTACACAAGTTTGAGTTATTAGATATCAAATTTAACGTTTTTATTCATTTTAAACGTTTGAAAACCAATCAAGTGAACTAAAAAAACACACAACATCGTAAAAAGCTATTTAAAACGTAGCGTTTGTGCGGATGTGGTAAAAGCGTTATAACACAGTTTCCAGTCCCTAGGGCACTCTTCCCATAATAAACTTATGAATAACGGGAGCTAGGTGGTGGTGGTAGTGGTGCTTAGTGGGAGAGAGAAAATTCAAAATATGAGCTTGCCGACAGTGTGTCACCCGCTTTTTTTCGTTTCATCAATTTTAAATTACCCACAAACTTTATTCGGCCTTTTTGCATATAAATCAACATAAATTGTTGTATTTATCTATATTTATATTATATAGTAATCGAAAAATCTTAAAGTGTAATAACTACTGCCATAAAGTATAACATTTTTGTTTTACTCAAGTAACTTTCTTACGTTATACATAAGCATATCAAAAAAGAAAATACAAAATAGCATTTTGTAAACATTATTAACAAACAAATATAATATAAATTATTGTACTCACCCACAACTCAAGACAACATAATACTGCGACGACCGGTATAAAAACGCGGCGAGTTTCGACCTGGTTGTTTTCTGAACACTACCTTAACACTGAGTGTATATACTACCTACCGTACGTTCAAATGGAAAAATAAGGCGTGAGTCGTCTACTATGGTGTACAATATTTTATCGTGTTCGGTTTGTTCTTAATACAGTGTGACCCGGTGTTGTTTTTTTTGTGCATACCTACGGAACCTATCTACCTACATACTTAACCGCCTTCTTAGCGCATCCTACATGGCGTGTAGAGTGTGGTAAATAAAGTCAAAACGCCTCGACACTCTTAAGCGTCGTGTTCAAGTCTATCAATTAACTAGGGAGCGAGCACATTCGGTGGTAGAAAATTGGAAATAATTATTGTACAGAGACTGAAATCGTTCGTCTCCACACGAGATCACACCGGACAACACTGTGGCAGAAATCCGGTTTAGGAACAATAAACGTTGCTCGGGGCCGACGACGGTGCGATGTTATAAGGTCGGAGAACCATTAACCCCGCCACCGGACCGCCAGTGGAATGTTAGGAACCCTAAGGCCTTTTTATTATTTTTGTGCTCATACACCCAAAAACAAACAACAACAACCGCCACTACGTACATCGTATATACTATACATTATTATGTATGGCGAAAACCGTCGTACGACGACTTGGTCAAACCGACAGGCAAACTTTCCGGAAACGTTTTTGGCCGCCGCCCCGGGATTAATGCGGTCGTCCCGTACTGCTGCTGCTGTTGCTGCTGTGCAGCCGAGGCGTTCTAATTAGAGGCGACCGTGGGGGTAAGGGAAGAGCGTAGCAAGGCCCAAAAGTTCCCGACATCTCTTCCGCACACCCCCCGTCTACTGAACTGTATATTGTATATGTATACCGTGCGCTCACATATATCAAAACGCCCTCGGTAGATTTATGCGCCGAACTCACACCGCCGCCCGCTAGCCGACCCCTCTCGATATCCAATTTCCACAACCAGGGTTTCGGATGTACTGGCGTGGCGGTTTTTTTCCGTTTTGTTTTTCCAGTCCAGTTCGCGTGGTTGCAGGTATAAAACAAAATTAACCGTCGAGACGGTGTTTTGGCGAAATTTATTTTGAAGTTTTTTTTTTTTAAATATAGTAGTACATTAAATACAAAGAACACACCAAAAGAAAATGTCATCTAGCTCTCTGCTCCGACAGGATTGATTTTTTTATCGAAATCCGTTCTCGCTTTGAGGTCATTGAGCATTTCCAACATGATGAACAACCTATATATATATATATACCTGAAAGTTGTGAAATACCCTAATCCATCATATTATACGGCGTGATTATATATTTGCCGCCGAGCCGCCGGCGTCTACTCAAAACCAATTTCCATCCTCAATTTAAACGCGGCAACGACCATCGAATTCGATTTCATGGGAAATATCATTACTATTATCACGATTATTGCTTTGCGCTCATCAAGCTTAAAATATTAACGTTAGCTGACAGATTGTTGAGTGTATACACACTCAACTAGGTCAAACGCCATGGTTTCCATTGCATTGGAGTAAAATACACAGACAGAACACAGCCTTCTGGGTTTTATTTACAATTTGTCAATTTAATTAATATAAATGGGTCTAAACCACAACTTTTGACAGCTTTCATTCTCCAGAGAGTCCAAAAGCACATAGTTTTTAAGTTTTGATCTATGTAGTATATGATATTTAGTAGTAATTAGTTTTATTCTGAAAATTAAAATTGATCTTTTAAATTATTATTATATTATGTAGCATATGGCCAGAGTGCCAGAAAATCTTAACCCACAAGTCCAATACTTCAAGATAAGGCTGATTATAATTTTTTAAATGTCAATTCCAAACCGATTATGTTCTGCGATTTAGTGAATACATTTTTTTTTAGGTGTGGGTCAGTTTGGTTTTAAATTATTATATTATTCTAAAATGTTTAATGTAATAAAACCAATTTTTTCTGGCGCTAAGGCATCATATTATATTTTAATAGTACAATAAACATATAATATAATTTATTTATTCATTTAGGGTTTTTTTTGATAAATTATTTAGTTATTGAACTAATTTAATGGAAAATAATCAAAAGGGCTTATATAGGGACAACTATTTTGATGTACACTGAAAGGTTTCTTTTTATTTATGTAAAATTACTTTTTAGCAATTTCATAACATTTATTATATGAAACAACAATGGAAGAAAATAAAATGTGTTTTTTTGTGGATCCAGCGTAATAATTATAATTGGTCGGCATGCATAATTAAAAAACTTTGAAGTATAACTACTTGAAAAACTATATTTATTATTTATTTATGTTCCCTGCAGTCGACGGCAAACAATATTACGTCATAAATAATAAATTTATTTTTTGAAAAAATGATAACAATATAAATTTATTTATTGTATGAATATTATTAACTTTAAGCTAGTAATGTTCAACATAACAATACATCATGTATTTATGTTCTCGTGGATTAGAAGTCTACACAATTGAGAAGCAACTTTATTTTATAGTGTCTTATTAAATGATATATACCAAGTAAACAAACAACAAATTTAATAAATATATTTGTATTAATAACTTACCGGCATGATCTGATTTTTCAAACGAGAAAACTAAGTTAGTTATTTCTAGTTACCAAATAATTTTATTAGCTCCGTTGATAAAAGTACTGAAGTAAGAACTTTCGCCGTTCATTTTGGTATAAGCAACACACACACGTGAGCTGATGTATATTTTGTATCTGAGGTTTATGTGAGGCATACGACCGTCGAGTAATTCATTTTTATTTTGTTATGAAATTTAATAAAAAATGAAAATTATGGCGAAATGTAAATTCCTAAATTGTAACCTAAACAATAATTTTTATTTGTCTATTATTAAAGTCTCGGCCTTTAAAAAGATAGCGTTCAATAATACATAATTTGAGAGAAAACAATTATTAATCTATATTATGAAATTATTTGGTAATTATTTAGAAACTAACATACGGCATACTTGTGTAAAATGAAATCTAAGTGTCGTATGCCTATTAACATACTATAATTATGGCTTTCGAATGAATTCTTTTGATTGAATTCGTCTGCCGAGATTAATTTTTTATAATTTTTCATACCTAATCTTACTTTTACTGAGGGAATGAAATCTAGATTGACTCGATTTAACGACCACATTTGCACCAAACATGAACGGCAGGAAGTAATCAAATTACTCCTGAAATTGTGACATGAATAATAATAGATATAAAAGAAACAAAAGCCTAATTTGAATAAATCAACTTCCAAGTTTGGGAAACAAAACGTTCGATATTTCTGACATTCATTAAGTATTCAAATGAATTGCGATGTTTTCCTCGAATAAACATGTTCACCAACTTTTTAGTCTAATGACTGGATCCTCATTTATTTCTAAAGTCTATCAAATTGTACTTTACAGTCACTATCGGTACACTTTTTGTTTACCTACCATTACTTCATAATGGAAGAAAAAGCTGGCAATGAGAAAACGAATATATTAACCTCAATTAGAAATCGGTAAATAACGACAAAAAGTAAATTAATCAAAAATAAAAATTGCAAAAAAAAAACATAGAAATATTAACAGAATCATCTTAAATATTAAAGTCGATACAAAATAATATCAATCAAAATATTAACAGAAAAACAGAATTGAAATAAGTTAATTCTATCGAGTCTATGCTATCTTGTCTAGTCTATGTTATTTTCCTTTTAATATTGTAATTATTTGTCACTTATACTTATATGCGCTAAAATAGTTGTTACTCAGTAACGTGGCTATGTTTTGGGCTCCAAAGAATAGTGACGTGACGTTATTTTAAGAAATGTATGTCTATGCGTCGAAACTGTGGCAGTTGCAATTCGGTTGACTATATAAGTAAAATACAAATTGCGCGTTGATAAATATTTAAAATTAATATTTGTTTACAATTTTATTAGTCAAAAGATTCCTTCATGTTTTTCACAGTTATACTGGATTACATTAAAGTTATTTGATAAAATGCAATACAGGTTTTATTTCTTGGCGGAATGGCTGCTACTCTGCAAAGGTTAATCGATTATTTACTTTACTACTATTGAAGTCGATTATCTACCAAATCACGGACCAAAACTTTTCACTTACACAACAGCTAGCAGCCGACTTAAACGTAAATAACTTATCTCGCTCCCGTGGGATTCTATCCATAGAAACTACTGTAGTTATCGGGTATATAACTATTTCATTTAGCAGTTTAAAAGAATCTCTAGATATTATAACTCCAATTATTTATAGAACAATACCAATCCAAATCTTAACTAAGCCAACTTAATTTTCAAAGTATTAAAGGAATACAAATACCAAATTTCAAGTTAGTAAATCTAAAAAAGCCATCAAAATCCATAATTATAGTTTTAGAGTACCTTTTTGGTTTTTTCATAATAAAATAATCTTTTGTTGAAAATATTTGATGTTATAGATAAAGGTTAAATCTACCATAAGTCTAATTTTCAGATTTTAAATAATACAATTTCGCCTAAAAAAAAAGTTTACATACCCTAGGGAAGGGGGAATGACGGGGAGTTGTCAACATTAGAATTTGAGGCGATTTGGCTATAGGGACATGTCTCATGTCCTATATACATCTAAATCATAGCTAAAATTAACGATAACAATAACATTACATCTCCTTCCCGGCCTCATCCCCATACTATACCTTTGAATGCTAATAACTCAAGTATTTATCCAAAACAGGTTATCGATTAATTAGTTTCATAGGTAAATCTAACTCATAGGTTGCTACTTGACTTTTAAATGTCACTTTTTTATACTACTTTTTAAACTAATATTTTTAACTTGAATATAATTACCTTTAAAGGTTTTATTTGAAACTTTTGTAGCTAAAACAATTATTTTAAAGTCAAAATTACTGTAAAATTAAATTTTAATAGCCTAGTCAACAACAAAACATATATGTAATATACTTAAATATACCTACTTACAGCATCAATAGGTAAAATTAATAGCCAAGACAAGTATTATCCGCTTTTTAGTATAATGAAAAACAAAATTATGTAAATATTTTTAAGGCATTTAATTTTTTGTTTTTCTCTATGTAACCATATACTACTTTTATGCTAAAAATAGTCTACGTACTCGTAAACTAAAAGTATCCTCAAGGCTCTAATATTATTTTACCTTTAATATTCACCCTTTTATTTTTTTCATTACTATTTATTAAAGTTTATTAATATACTGTGTCAAACAAAATAATAATAACATATAAAATAATAAAGTACTTAAATAAACCCTTAACCACAAAATAATCCCTCTATAGCGTATACGTATTTCGACAGCTATATGTTACCATTCACCATCATCAGCGCATACAACAGACTGAAACCAATTATGCCTTATGGACAAACATCTTAATAGTCTCAGACTACTGTCTGTAACATGCGCAGTGCGCTGATGATGGTAACATTGCTGCCGAAATACGTATACGCTATAGAGAATTATGTTGTAGTTAAGGGTTTGTTTAAATATTTTATAAAATATAACCACAAGTGTTGCTTAAGAGGGCGTCGCATCGGTGATTTTCAGTGGTAAAAACATGTTTAAGCAGACTGAAAATAACTCGCTTAATTTTGGTTTTAAAGTAAAAGCACCCATTATAAAATTAAAAGACAACAAATTCCTGAGAGCAAGACGGTGCATTTAAAAATATTTTTTTTTTTGAAAAATTACTGTCATTTAAAAATGTTAAAATAGTCGTTATTTCTAAACTATGTATTGTTGAGCGTTATACTTAGAATAATGGAAAAAGAGCACCGTCTTGCCCTCCGAAATATTGTTCTCTTTTAATTTTATAATGGGTGTTTTACTCTAAAACCAAAATTAAGCGAGTTATTTTCAGTCTGCTTAAACATGTAGAGATGAAAAAACATTTTTAAATCGCTTTCAAGTATGCTGTGGTAGTCCAAAAAATAAATCAACTACCAAAATAGAGTCCTAGTTATTGAACTAATAATTACACATCACAGTTTAACCTTTAAATTAATAAATTGTAAAAAATTGCCTATACTTTACGCCTTAAAAATGAGCGGTGCGACGCCCTCTTAAGTTTTTATCTAAAATAATAAATTATGTTAGTACTACACTTAAGACTATTTTGATTTTTGTAAACAAGATACACAGTCATCCGTTACCATTACTTCTTTGCTCCCTGGATGCTTATACTTTTTGTTATATCATGATGCTAGCTTTCAATTGTTATTAATATTATTAAAATTGATGAGAGTGTACGCCAATTAATTTAATTACGTCAAAGCGAGAAGGGCATGCACGTTAATTTCCGGAAAGCTTTTACCCCTATCACTGTAAGGAGAACTGTAAATCGAATATTATCGTTGGTTTAAATCGAATTCGATTACTTACCCGATGTAGTATATTATAATTTATAACAATATCAGCGTCTCTGCCGTCATCCATTATGTTTCACATACTCAAAACACATTGTTACACATGGCATAGACTTTAGTGTGCACTTTTGCGAGACAGAACCTTGAGGTGGTGTTATTGAATACGACAACAGGTACCTATAAAGGTACACGGTCAAAGCGTCACATAATTATTTTACACAGTGTCGTGTATATTTATACATGGATACAATAGGTATATGAGTATTGATCGATTTGCAATGCCTACCTATATTGTGTCGCCCGAGGGAAGATAACGCGTTGTGGGGGAAAAACAAGTATAGTTATTTATATTACACTTTGAGAAAACATGCTAGAAGCTAGTGTTTACTAATAATTTGTTTTGTTGTTGAACGATCGAGACAAAAACAAGACTTTTTTTACGAAATGGGTATGACATAGTACATACAATCAATACTTACACAATTAGTGCAATATTATTATTAAACAATTATTGATGTTCGGCGATTTACCGTACTCAAGTACATTAGTTTGAACAATTAACCACGTAAACATTTTATTATTAATATATTTTTAAAACGAAAATGTACAAGTACTATTTATATATAGATGTGCGGTAATTATTAACAAGTAAAAATGATAAAACAATAGCGTACATTTATTAGCGATCTCCAAGGTCGTATACCGTTCTGCACTCTCTGTCTGGAGTCATTGCCTGTCCTTCGGGACACGACTTTACTGGCACGTTGATGATCGACCTATGGTTTGTGGTCGTCTCCACTTTGAAATCTCCTGCCGTATGGTTCACCTCAAGAGGTTTCTGCGGTTGTGATTGACCCTTGGTGTCAGGTTCTTTGGCATAGCCGATGCGTCCGTTTAATTCAGGCGACTTGAGCGTTGGAGGTTGAGATGACTTTTGCACTGAAGCAACTGACGGAAGTGGAGTTGTAGCATTGTTAGTGGCCTTTTGGGTGGTCGTATGATGTATTATGTTGTGTATGTGGGTCAATATGCCAGCTTTCGTCAGTACGACTGCCATCGTCATTAGGACGATCAAGTAAACGATCGGAAGTTTCATTTTGAGTCAATAAAGTAGAAATGTTAATTTTCGGTTTTAAATAACTGCGTGGTTTTCTATATCGCGGTGCTTCCGAGACCGGCTCGATGATTGTTCGGACGAGACTGCTGTCTGCTGCACTGGCTGGGCTCTATGTCGCACGGACCTTCGTGTCTCCTTCTCTTCCGTCGTCACCTTCTCTTACCAAACTCAATTTGACCAGTAAGCACAATAACAATTCAATAATGTCATAATTATTGACAATATCGGCCGGCAGACCAACTACAATAGAATTCGAGCGCGGACATTAAGTGTATCGATTTTTAATACGATAACGATTCTTACGTTCGTTTATAGGGCTTAATTATTCCTTATAATTTAAATTAAAACTATTATACGCATACATAAATATGATGATGAGAAGCATCTTTATTAGTATCTATTTATTTTTAACTTGTATAAGATAAAAAAACAACCAAGTGATCTTTTTTTTGAATTGGGATTTGTTTCTAAAATCATAAAAAACCGTGTCAGCTAAAATTAAATAAAACAACTATTTTAATCTTTTAAAAATATGTAAATTCATCTGATTTCTGATGCACGTTACCACGAGCAGTAACTGAACTCTAAAGTTTAATTTTTTGGTATGATGAGTGATAAAAAAAATAACACATATGACGCACAAAAAACGACAATTAATATATAATATTGTATTGTACAAATTCGATAGAGATTCCGATCAATAAGTTACTAATAATTCTTAGAATGTATGGTCAATCGGATACGAAAAGAATCAATGAAATTTTTTTTTATATACTAGACAATTAATAATAATAATGATAATAATTATTGTTTTGCGTGAGTTTTTTTTAAACAAAAAAGCCTTAAAAAGTTATTAAAATGCAGTAAAATATTGTAAGTATTCATATAACCTAAACGTGAAAAAATAACTAATAATGCAAAATAAATGTTATGAATTCTCTTTATAAATCTCGTTAAATTTATTTGTATGTTATTCAGACAATTTTTTAATGATTAGAACAAAGCAAAATTCATAACTTTGAGCTCTAAAGACTTTTCTTATTTTACCAACTTTACATATTCGACATTTTTAATTAAATTCTAATTAATTAACAATACTAAACATAGGTGAAAGTGATCGTAGGTTCAGACACAATACTTGATTTCTTAATATAATATACTTAAGTGCAAAATGACTGTTTCTATTCTGAAAAAGGCGTACATTTGTATACATTATAATATAGGCGCATAAGATAGGCGTATTTCTGCTAGTCAATACTTTTTGAGAAAGCTTATGAATGGATCTATTGATTGTCCTGGTTTATTAAGTGAACTCAACTTCAAAGTCCCCAACTTCCATTCTAGATCACCATATCCTTTCTTTGTACCGATTTGCACCACTAATTATTCATATAATAGACCTATTTTCAGGATAATGTGCATTGCAAATGAGAACATCTCCACCTTCACTTTTGTATAGCTTGTTAGTTTAAATAATTATATATGTATTTCTGTGTCTACAAAAATTGTACTTTGGGCCTCGGCCTGTTTTGAAAAATAAATAAATATGTAGTTAATATATTGACGTTTAATATTTTTGCCATAAATTTTGTTAAAACTAATGTTGAAAATAGAATTATGTTATTACCTTGATGTCTTTGACTTGTTGCTGACTTTCGGCCTCTGCAGTGAGTCCGAAACGTCAGCAACAAATCAAAGAAAATGATACATCCGAGGATTATCAGTTAATAATGTTTTATCCATGAAAGCGTTAACAGTGAACACATTCATAAGAATATGCTGTCATACGAAACCAATAATTACGTTTGTAATTATTATAAATGCTTGAACAATCCAATATAACCTATGTATAATGCTTAAATAATTCTATAGTTTTGAATAATAAGCTAAATTAATTGTGTATTATTAAATACTACACTGTTAACTAATTACAGAACTCTCGATAGTAAAACATTGTAATAGCATAGTATTGATTAAAACATGTTCATGTAAAATGCACAGAAATAAATATAGTAAGAGTAACGTTCGGTATCTCACCTCTAAGTGGACTAATTGATAAAGTTTATTAAATAGAGTTAACCAGAGGTTATTCAATATTAATTAATTTTATCAACGTTTTTATTTTTAGATAAAAGTGTATAGTGAAAGGCTATATGGATAATTTAGGGCAGACATTATAACTCACTTCATCGAGTAAAATGTAATAATTAAAGTTGATTGTTATTAATTTCGCAATAATATTCGATTTAATATGGTTTTGATATACATATTATAAAATAAAATACTTTGAACTGCGAGCACCTTATTACTCGCTTTGTTCTTCGTTTTATGTTTTTTTTTCAAGTAGGTGTGTAGATGTATAAATGTATAAATCTACTATTTGTATTTTTAACCGTCGACCTCAGGATTTCTGAACGACGTCTGCTCTGCATTGCGTGGTCGTCTCTTGTTTGGAGTTCCCAATCGTTTCCTCGACCATAGGTTTCTTGTTTTCGGTACCGACTTCCTCAGGTTTTTCGAATTGTCTGTTTTCAACTTTAACTGTTACAGTAAAAGTTACTGGGTGCGACAGTTTTACTGGAGTAATCGGAGGAACAGTTGTAGTAGTAAGCGTTAAGTACAATGCAATGATGACCTGTAAGCCGCTCACCGCCGATGCCATCGCTACAAAGAAAACCAGATAAACGCTTCATTTTTTACACAAGAAATCTGAGTATTGTTATTATAAAACAATGTGTTTTTGACGGTTATAATCGCCGAAATCACGGTGCTACCGAAACTGGTTCAACGGTTGTTAAAACGAGACTGCGGCAATCGTTACCTTTCGTTTCATTCACCGACGCACCCTATTTCTTCAAAACGCAATGACTACTAATAAAACCCAAAACTAAATAACAATTTTTTTATTTCATATTATTGGTATAATATACAAATTATTTAGCTGGGTAATTAGCTCTTTTGGAGGAAAAACACATTATCTGCACCTAACCTATATAATTAGTCACAACAGAAAAAAAATGCACTCGTATATAAAACTACTAAATGAGTGTTATGAAGCAGGACGCCAGAACAGATGTCCAGATCTTTGAAGTTAATTTTAAACAATTTATATTCCTATTTTGTACTTTTAAAGCACAAATAGGTAAATGTAATAGTTAATTAACATTAAAAAAAAACATAAGCAATTATTTCCACGTGTAAAACAATTGTATTTACTAAATATAATATCATTAATTGTTATAGATTTTGATAGATAATTTATCTAAATATAATAAATCAAATAATTAATTAATACTATTATTGAGGAGGACGAGTGGCCGAGTGGGTAAGGCGGCAGTGTGTTAGCGCTTTCTGTCGCTGGTTCGATACTCGGTGACGGGAGCTCCGTTTGGTGTGCGAGCAATCTGAAAAGGAGCGCCACCCCCCTCTTCGGCGAAGGACTGACGACCCGTCCCGGGCAGCAAAATTGTCAAGAAACCATCATGTCGCAATGATGATGATGATGATTAACTAACTATGTAACTAATTAATTATAAATTAATAATGATCCTTTTTAGAGTATTGTGATTCATCCGAAAACAGTTTATAAAACTAACAAAGTTTTATGAATCCTAGCATAAGAGTGCCAGCTGATAAAGAATGTTTTTATTAATAAGGGTAACTTGATAAAGAAAGATTCTTTTAAAAGAGACGGTCAGCTGATAATCATTGCATAACAAAAACATGTTAATTATATAATTTGTATTATACACGGAAAAGACTATATAGTTGACTGTTGAGACAACCATGGAGCAAAAAAAAAAACCAGCACATTAAGATTTGAGAGAATATTTTAAAATTAATAAAAACGTAAACATCTATTATCTCGTTATAACAACATAACCCCATAGTTCTAACGTGCAGGTTACAGCAGTCATATTGGTATGCACATTTTTATAATTATAAATTATAAAATATAAGAAGTCAGCATTTTTGGAGCTAATAGATCCATAATATTATTGTAAGTATACTTTGTATTATTTGGAGACAACGGATATTATTTGATGAAAGAAAAATACGCCATTGTAAAACTATAATAACTACTCAGCGAATGTAAAAATGATGTCCCTTTATATTACTTCTACGTTGTCTATACTATGGTCGGCTTCATAATCTATTGCACATTATAATTAAAAAGTTATTCACAATGGTGACCATGGATTTAATAAATTGGCAATGCAACATAGTCCGTACTGAAAGAAACATACACCTAAGTAGTAAGTACGTATATATTATCAACATTTATTATTTTATATTGGTACCTACTTATAATAATTATATGTTGATTAATTTTTGACAGATTTTTTAATATCATTGCGTTGCAGATTGTTTTATATAAAACATGTTATTATTTTAGTGTCGGGTACCCAATTATTAGCCATACCTAAAATTAGTGGATCAATGAATGACGAGTGTGTCGTTGTCCTTGGGTTATTCCGGTATACTTAAATATATAAAAAAAAAACTCTTTGAATTTTATTATCCGTATTATATTATTTTCTACATATACTAATTAATAAATCAATAGTCTGAGAATAAAATGATTATTTGAAATAATTATTTTATTAAAATGTAGATACCTGTAAACGTTTCCTAAAACTTAATTTTTAACTTCCAGGTAGTATAATATAGGTAGTAAACTTTTCAGAATAAAAGTAATTCAAGAAGTACAATTATTCCATGATTATTTATATTTTGTTACTCGTTGTAATGTATCGAACTTTTGTATTTAATCTAGTAATTTGAAAAAATAAATAAAAAATAGAAAAGTTGCTTTAAGAAATGTACCTACACCTTATACAAAGTATAACTTTTATATAAAAATCAGATTGTCATTTACTAATCAGATAATCAGTATCAACACTCATGTAGTATAAAAAATATAAATTATGTATTTTATATTTTCGTTTCTCTGCATAACAAAGTAACGTAATAACTTACAGTATTATGTACATTATAATAAAATAGAATTGTATTTTCTTAGTTTTTTTTATAAATTAATTGTATAAAATGTTTATGTCTGTTTTGTTCGCCAATGCCTTCTCTCCCATTGCTATTGCACTTCA